ACACCTGCGCTGGTGTCTTTCCCTGGCAGCCCCCGGTTGGGGACGCCTTCCAACCACCTGTGACCTCAGCCGCCCTGGGCCCGAGAGGGTGCGATCTGCGCGAGGGACGGCGCTCGGGAATCCAGGTCTTGCAAGCCAACGCAAGTGACATTGTAAACATCACCAGGTCACCGCAGCCCTGAACACCCTGGGAACCCAAGTCCATCCGTCGGGCCTGGGCAGTCTAGTTGCGACTCCCCCGCCGCTTTCGCGTCCAGGCCACGCGTCACCTCCCCCTGCAGCCGCGGCGCGCGAATCGAGCGCTGTGTCTTTAAGCGGGAAGCGGAGGTTTCCGATCTGGACAAGATGTCTGCGAGGAGCCGGGAGGGGAGCGGTGACCGCGGACCCGCGGGGCGCGGGGGGCTGCGGCGGGCGTCGCGGTGAGTGCGGCCAGAGCCCGCGGACGCCGCGGGCGGGGCGGGGCGGGGACGTCCGCGTGGGCCGCGGGGACCGAGGGGCCCCCGGGGGACCCAGGGAACCGAGGGGCGAGGGCTCCGCCGCCGCCACACGGCTGTCGCTCCAGTTGCGTGTGGACCCGGCGACGCGGGGGACCCTGCTAGCTTCTTCTTCCACCTCCTCCTACAGACTCCCCCCAAAACTTGGGATCTGGGCGCCATCGCCCCTCTCCCTGGCCTGGTACAAAGTCGCCTCCCAGCGGTCCCCCACTTTGCACTGAGACCCTACGAGTTCCAGCCAGCGAAACCCGGGGCTGCACCAGGTCCCCTCCCCCTCCTCCCCTCCCCCACGCCGTCCAAACAAAAGCTTCCCGGTCCTCCCCGCGCTGCAGACCCTAAGCAGAACCCCTCTTTACCAAACACTGGCCTTCCCTCCTACAAAGAAAAACCTGAGCGCCCGTCACCAGCCCAACTTCTGTTAGCCCAGACTGCAAAGACCAGGCGCTGGAGCGCCGCTGTTGCAGAACTGCTTACTAAATAGACATCACTAAAGAAGCCCTTTCTGTACTCCTAACTATGCATTATGTGTTATTAGGACACCTTTCTGGCCAAAAATAGCTTGAGGCAACTGACAAGAGAAAATGTAGAAAATTGTGCAAAATGGCCAAAGAGCCCAAGGCAGGTAATTGTCAATTAAAAAATCTTTTGAATTCCCGAGGCCTTCAAAGTTAAGACTGCTTTAAATCTCCCTAATTTGTTTGAAATGATGCATTTTTGCAAGGTAAAATGGACTTCCTCCTTTATTTTTAGGAACCCTATGTGTTGAATAAAGTAATGTAGGTCTGAAATGAAGGTCCACTTTAAGGCCCAGTGCTTTACAATTTTCATTATTTCTAAAAATGCATTAATAGAGTGCTTCGCTGCCTTTTAGCTAATGGTAGAAATGTCTAAGGCTTTGACTTACGACATTTAGGGAACATCTCTGATTCACTGGGTAATTAGCTTTGGGTCCAGTAAGTTTGTTACAGTTCATAAATGGTTTCACACTTAACCCTTTATTCCCCAACCTGAGGATCCACATTGTATAATTTGGAGTTATTTTTAACTTGCTTTTTGACATCATCTCATACTTCCAGACTGTTTTTCTAGTTGTCTGAGTCTGTTTATAGATAGACAAATACATGGCATTAAACTAGTAAGTCACCAGGGTTGGCAGCTAACAGGTGAACAAACTGTGGTTTCCTTAACACTTCAGTTGTCAAGCTTGTTATTTGTTTAATTATCGTGTTCTGCTTTGGTTTAAGTCACTGGTAGATGAGGTAAGTGAAAATATGGTTTTTAGTGTTTCTATTAAATCTGCATGAATTTCATAGTAGTATGGATTTCTCTTGTAAGGTCCATCCAGGCTCAACCAACACGTATTTATTTATTGTTCTGCCTGGCTAATTAAACTAAAGTTCTTGGCCTTGACTACAGAAGGACAAATGGAGCTGTAATTCAGTTACTATTTCCCTTACAGAACTCTGTATGATTCTTTGGCCTTAAGCCAGCCTAACATTTTTAAGTATATAAGCATAAAAATATAAAATAATAAAATAATTTTTTTGTGGGTGGTTCATAGGATGACTATGTGTTAAAGTAACTGGATTTGTAATAAAACGCACTTCAGAGCAGAATGCCTGGTTTTCATTTTTAAGAAATACATTGGTAGGGCTAGGGGTGTAGCTTAGAGGTTGCAAGTGCTTACCTCAAATATGTGAGTTCATTCTGGGTTTAACCCCAACACAATAAGAAAACAAAAAAGGATTAATAGAGATATAGTGTTTCTCTGCCCTTTAGCTAATGGTAGAAATATTTGAGTTTGGCTCATGACAAACACTAGCATACCTGTTAGGTCCCCAATTCATGAGGCCAATGCATGGGGTGTGAAAGATTTCACAGAAAAACAAAAATTGAAGCAGAAGCAAAGTTTTATTCACTTTCCAAGGGAGGAAAAGCGCTGGTATCTGCTCAGAATGAGATTAGGGCTGGGGTTTATAAGCCTTTGAGATGTAGAAGAAATATACTGTTGACATCTTTTTTTTTTTTCTGGTTGGGATAGTCAGTTTCTCAATGTTTTTCCAAGGTAGTTGTTTGTTAGCTTGTACAATCTTTTCTATGACATCATGAGATCAGAATATGTTGTCAACAAGATGCAAGTGGGGTTCCACTCCCGAAAAACAGTTCTGCAAAACAAAGTAAAACAGCCTTCCTTCCAGACAAGATGGAGTCCTTTACAAAACGGAGTAGGTTAGGCTAATTTGAGTTGGGGACTTACAATGCCTTGTGTCCATATTTACAGGTTTTGATCTCTTCCTGTAGTCTCTATGGTGGTGTTTTGGAGAACATACGGAAGAATCTGGGCTTTAACCTGATAAGTTATAAGAAGAGTAGAATTTCTTCAGAAATAGATTCAAATGGAGAGAAAATTATTGTGGGTTTATCATCTTCCCCAGGCTTCAACTTCTTGTCACTCCTTCCAGAGAGTGGAAACCCAAATGAAATCCAGCCAGAGAGCGTTCAGAGGCATGGTACCAATAGAAATACCCTCTCCCTTTCCTAGAAATACCTAAAAATCTACATTTTTTTATTCAGGGTTTCTGTCCTCCTGAAATTGGACTCATAATTTTCCAATGTTAATTTCATGCTAGCAGTGCTTTCATGTAGCTTCAAGATATCTAATTCTAAAATAGGAGCTTAGAAGCCTAGTTACATGCTAAAGAATTGGAAACTGTTAGAATCAAGCCCTGACGGTAATGGGTTTTGGTGTTGATGACAGTGTGTTATGTTCCCGTGGGGGTGGGCAGAGAAGAGGTGCTGAGCAGTGTGAACTCGAGTGTTGGGACTCCCAAGGCCTTAGCACCAAGGAGCTGACTGTCCCATGCCCTCCCCTTCTCCAGGATGGACAGTCACCCTAATGAGTGAAGCCTGACCTGACTTTTACCAGGCTTTTATCAGAATTGTTGGAAACATCTCTTTCCCCACCAGGTGGTGAGCTTCCTGAAGCCAGAGACCGGTGTTCTTCTTGGGACCTTGAGCTGGTGCACAGTGAGCATTTGAACAAGAGGGTTGGATGGAGTACATGGATGTAAGCAAAATACCACGTTCATTGGCATCTTTGTGGTGGTTTTTTAAAATGTTCAAAAAGAATTAAGGGGGCTCTGTTTTTCATTTTCTTCTTTAGCTAAGCACACAATTCATGGCTATGCACTGTGATTGCTGAGGGGTAATGCATTGTCACAGGCTGTAGCTAATCGTAGCCTTCCTACTACCTCCCTTACATGGAGGTCAATTTAGGAAGTGAAAATAAATTTGGAGTGTGGGTGAGGGTCTGGGATCCATTATCCTTTTCTTGTTTGCTTTTTGTCTCAAGAAATCCTTGAGGGGATCCTTTCAATTTAGATGACCTAAATTGAATAATACAATCTCCAACAGAACAGTGTGTTTTAGCCACCCATGATCTCAACATCGGTACACATAACCAGTAGATTCTGGGAGTTTCTTTGTGGTCATGCCTTACGTTTATATGGTCCTGGGAAGTCCAAGAGTGAGATTGTTGCTATCATCTGATTTCGGCCACCTTTTTTGAGGCAGATCATCTTACTTCCCTTGACGGAAGATTGAGTCTCAGTGAGCCATAGCTATCAAAACATAGGACTGGGTTCATTTTATTGAATGCAGTGCCCCCGAGTGTTACCCTGTGCCTTTGGCTTAGGATTTCTTGCTTGGGTAGAGCGCTGGGAACCAGGGGGCACTGAGGAACCCCACACAGTGGGTTTCCTGTGGGTCAGGTCCACACACACTATGCATGCACATCTACCAAAAGGCTCAGCCATAGGCTTCCCCTGGCACTGCCCCTCCAGCCTCCATAAGGCTGGCCTGGCCCTGCCTGAGCTCATACGCCCAAGGAGCCAAGGATTGTTTTATAAAGTTACTTTTCATTTATGCCTAGATCTTGCCACACACTTTACCTAAATATATAGACATATCACGTGCATGCTTTCTTAGTAGCGTTTGTTGTAGCATTTACCTCTTCTGCTCCTCCCTCCTTCCATGATAGCTGCCACACCTTCAAATCAGTGTCTCCTTCCTTAATTTTCTTCATATCTATATCTATATCTATATCTATATATCGATCTATATAGATCGATATATAGATATAGATATATAGATATAGATGGTCCCTGACTTAGGATGGTTCAGTGTAGGATTTTTTGACTTCATGATGATGTGAAAGTGATATGGTTTCATTAGAAGCCATACTTTGAGTTTTGGCTTTTGATCTTTCTCTGGCTAGCAGTGAGTAGCACGATGCTCTTGTGAAGCTGAGTGCAGGTCCCAGTCAGCCACGTGATCCTTCCTAAGAGGAAGCAACTGATCTTCTATGGTGTATGTTGCTAAGCTACAAAGTCATAGGCTAGGTGTATTTAATACGTTTTCTACATTCAGTATTTTCAACTTAGGATGCATTTGCTGGGACATAACCCCACCATAAGTTGAAGAGCATCTGTATCTTTATATCGCTTATAATCTATGTATTAGTTAATAACAATGAGATCTTATAATACACACATTTCTGCATCTTGCTTTTCTCCCTGTAACAGTTGCTCCAGAAACCCCTCTAGGACATCTATCAGCTTCCATCTTTTTTAATGGATGTATCATATTCTCTGGTGTGGACAGATAGTACATATTCAGCTATTCTAGTGTTATGCATTCCCATTTCCAACCTTTCACCATTCTAAACAATGCTAAAATAAGCATCCTAACTCATGATTTTGTGTATTGGTGCTTTTAGTTCTGCAGAATAGATACACCTATTTTTAGTTAACATTCATGTCCTAAAAGCCATCATAATTCCACTAGTAATGTGTGAGTGAGACCCTTCTTTGCCTTCCTTCTATTTGGCTATTAGTCCTCTTGGCCTTTGTTAGTGTGATAGGTAAAATAACAACTTACTATTTTTATAACATTTCACCAAAAACAAGAGATGTGTGCCTTTTCAGATTTCCTGGCTATCATGTTTGCTCTTGGGTTATTTGCCTACTCACATATCCTGCCCACTGTTCTGGCTGGCTTGTCTTTTTCATGTCAGCTTGTAAGAGCCAGGTGTTCTGTTATGGCTGAAGAGTCCAGAAGTCAAATGGGTGAATTGGGGTTCTCTTGGTCTGCACTCCAGGGGCAGTTGCATGAGTCAGGGACTGTCTTCAGAGCTGGGCTGTTAGGACTGTGGCTGAAGACTACCACTTCTTGGATATGGAGTTTGAAAAGAAGATTGTGTTCAGTCAGGACACAGCCCAGGGTGGAGGTCTGAGAAGGTGAGGTAGCTCTGTACTGTGCTGCAGTCCACTGGTTAAGACCTCCAACAGCGAAGGCTGCTCAGACAGAGGATGTCCCTCTGCCACCCTTGGAGGGGAAGTGCTGTGCTGGCCAACATTTTGATGCTGCTTGTCCCCAGCTCAGGTGAAGCTGTCCATTCAGTTCATCACAATCAGTGCTTCTGGCCCTGTGCCCCTTAACTCTTTAACAGATGGCATTCACCTGTCCAGTGCTATTCTGGGCATCCAAGAATTAAAAGAAACCCAGAGACATCTTGCAGGGAGGTAAAAGGATGAAAGTAATTGGTTACCTCTGGCACTGTTATGGGCACATCAGCAATGATGACTCTCAGACTTTGGCACAGGAAAGATAATCTGAACATTCTTTGGAGCTGTCAACCCCTCACTTAAGACAGCTATCAAAATACAAACTGAGCCAGGCACGGTATTACACACCTGTAATCCCAGCTACTTGGGAGGCAGAGATCAGAAGGAATGTAGTTTGAAGCCAGTCTGGAGCAAAAGCTGAAGACCCTATCTGAAAAAATTAAAGGAAGAAGGGTAGGGGGGTGGTGTGTGGCTCAAGTGGCAGAGCTCTTGCCTAACAAGCAGGTAGACCCTGAGTTCAAACCCCAGTGCCACCAAACAAAACAAGCAAACAAACAAAAAAAGCAAAGCAATAGTCTTGATGTTATCGGAAAGGTTTAAATCTTTTTTAATTTATGAACTAAATCATAGAGATTCATTAGAATGGTATCTCTACCTTTGTGTATATCCAGTAATTAAAAAAGGAATCCTGGAAAGATAAGAGTCAATGTAGAAGGAAATGGAATTTTAAAAACAAAATAAAAAAACACCGCAGGAAAAATTTTAGAACAAGTTTGATCATTAAAATGTTTCTAATGCTAAAATCTTTTTCTCTTTACTAATTGTAATGTCACATAGCCATATTTATTGACCATAAAAAAAATCTTCCTTGAAAGTGGCCTATAACCCCTCATCCCACCTACTTCCACTTTTGGAATGTCAGCATTTTAGTATCTCTTGAGGGAAAAGTAGAACTACTTACTAGAGACCTTTTACTTACCACGAGTAACCATACTTTATTAATATATTTATTTATTTCTATGGTACTAGGGCTTGAACTCAGGGCCTTCACCTTGAGCTACTCCACCAGCCCTTTTTTGTAAAGGGTTTTTCCAGATAGGGTCTCGAGGAACTGTTTTCCAGGGCTGGCTTTGAACCACCATCTTCCTTATCTCTGCCTCCTGAGTAGCTAGGATTACAGGCATGAGTAACCATATTTTAAATCAATGCCTGTGTATCAGAAGATGTATAGATAACAATTTTTTAATGTCAAAAAGAGGCCCAATACATTTCTCTTTTGATGATTCTGGTGGTTTCATTATCCTGTTTGTTTTGTTTTAATGTGAGGGATCTGTTAAATGGCATGCCTGATTCTGAGTGAACTTACTTTGTGGAAAAGGAATCAACTAGGTTGAGAAAATGCACCTGTAACCAGACTGTTCACAATTGAATTGAAAGCTTACACTAAACACCATTGTTATAGTAGCTTATTTTTCCTGCACTCTTTGCCTTCATGTGTTCTCTTACTGTTTTTAAAATTCCAAAACAAGTTTTGTCTAGAATCATACATTTGGTCTTTTGTAAACATATTTCCTAAACAACAAATGACACCTTTTTAAATGTCCCTTTTTGGATAGGTTATTGCAGTGGTGAGTTACCTTCCTAATAGAAAATACTTGTCATGTTACCTTTGGGTCTCTTTAACACATTTTGTTAGATAAAGCAAAACACTATTAATTTCTTTTTCTTCCCTAATTAGGCCAAGCTTTCTATCCTCCATAGAGATAGAGGGCCATTTAGTTCTAAGATAAGTAATAAAGAATTATGCTAATTTTATTTGCTTTATGTCTTGAGCACTCATGAAAGGGTCAGAGAACGTGAGCAGCAGCAGGACACGCACTAGTCAGTACTCCTGGCATCTAGCTCAGGCCTGTCTGTCCCCACAATGTACCGAACACTGCCGAATCCAGAGTCACGCTGCACGCGGTGTTTCTACCTTGGAACCTGGGTCGGTTGAGGCAGCGACAGGAGCCCCACGGTCATCAAGACATGGCCTACCATCTGAACTGAAGTTTAGGAAGCTGCTTTGTACCTTGCTATTTCTTAAGCGTGCATATTCTGAATGGCTTCCGGCGGTGCCAATTTTTTTTACAAGTGCATTATTTTTTATAATCACGAAACAGGCATTTTTATACCTGTAAAGAATCCAGTCACTGAGCACTTAAAACTGCTGCTCACCCGTGGCACTTCTACGTCTTAAAGTCTAAGAAACAATTTTTTATTTTCAAACCTTTGTTTTTCTGCTCATTGCTGAAGTTTGTAACACGCACAGGATAGAGGAGCGCGCGTCACCCTTACCCTTTCAGAGACAGTGAAGACGGGTTAAATACAGCTTAAGTAAGCTAGGCAGGACCTTGGGGAGCTGTCGCATCCCAGCACGGCCGCGTGTCCCCTGGGACCGCTGCTGTGGAGGGCGTGCCTGGTGTAAGAAGGGCTGGGCAGGTTCGGCGCGCTTCTCAGACGTGGGCGCTGCAGGCTGGCTGGGCCGTGTGTCTAGAACACGGGGAGGCCAGGCACAGTGGCAGGGCTTGTGTGTCTAACGGCAGTCCCTTCCCTCCCCCGCGCAGACGCCGCAGGAGGAATGAGGAATGAGGAGTGAGGAGCCGGCCGGGAGCATGGAAGACAGCGCGGCGGCCTCAGCGCAGGACAGCCGGTGTCCCGGGCTGGCGCTGGCGCCCTCCGGCCGCCTGGGGGCGCCCTACTCCGAGGCCTGGGGCTACTTCCACCTGGCCCCGGCGCGCCCGAGCCATCGGCCGGGCCACTGGGCTACGTGCCGGCTGTGCGGGGAGCAGGTGGGCCGCGGCCCGGGTCTGCAGGCCGGGACGTCCGCGCTGTGGAGGCACCTGAGGGGCGCGCACCGGCGGGAGCTGGAGAAGAGCGACCCCCGGCGTTCGCCGCCCGCCGGGCCCTGCTCGCCTCCCGTGCTCGCTCCCGCCGCGGCCGAGGGCGACTGGGCGCGCCTGCTGGAGCAGATGGGCGCGCTGGCCGTGCGCGGTAGTCAGCGCGAGCGCGAGCTGGAGCGGCGCGAGGCGGCCGTGGAGCAGGCCGAGCGCGCCCTGGAGCGCCGTCGCCGCGCGCTACAGGAGGAGGAGCGCGCCGCGGCCCAGGCGCGCCGCCAGCTGCAGGCCGAGCGCGAGGCGCTGACCGCGCGCCTGCGGGAGCTGGGCTGCCGCGACGACGCCCTGGCCGCCGCGCCCGCCCCGCCGCCCAAGGAGGACCCCGAGGGCGACGACAGGGACGGCTGCGTGGTCACGAGGGGCCTGCTGTAGGGGACGGCCAGCCTTCCCAGGACGCCGTCGGCTGTGAGGCCTTCCATGTGGTGGCGGCCCAGACCCCCGGCCGCCTCTGCTGGGTAGGGCCGGTGACCTTGAAAGCACAGAAGCTTCTGCACACCCCAGACTCATCACACCATGTGCCTATTCACCGAGCCAGCCTAACGGGGACAAGGAAATGAAGATAGAGGCGTCCTCCTTTCCTAAGGGTCTGAGAAGGGGACATTTAGTTCCTATGACTACTCTCTTCCCCCATCACCTCTAGAACTCAGCAGCTGTCCCGGGGTCCCCCTCCCCGTTCTAACTCCGCTGAGCTGTGCAACCCAGTGCCAACGCAGCTCAGCCATTTCCCCACTTTCCTGCCTCACACTTACTAGCAAGACAGGGGTCATCCCTTCCATCTTTCATGCCACTCCCGGCCTTTGCTCCATTACTGTTCCTGCTTGGCCTCACTCCCTTCCCTTCCCCAGCAATGCTCAGTCTCCCTGTGCTGAAGTTTCTCAGCTCCGAAGAGTCAAGTAGTCCTTGTGGCCTGTACTTACACTTTTTGCTCCTTCACCACTGGTCACCTCCCATTCAGCGTTCCACGCGTTCCAAGTCACCACCCTCTCTCAGGATTTTCAGCCTTTATTTTGCTCAATCTCTCCTTTGAAATCCCTCCCTTGGTAGGTAGAATGCATTTTTTTTTTTTTTTTGGTGGTACAGGGGGGATGAACTCAGGGATGGGTAGGCCTCCTATGGCTTGGCGCACCCCTAGTCCTGAAACGTGGTTTTCTTCCTAAGAATTCATTTTCCCTGGTGTATACTGGGTTCCTAGTTTTTCCTCAAGTCTCTCCTTTTTTTAAAATTCCAAGCCTACAGAAAACATTGAAAGACTACTACAATGAAAACCCATATTCACATCCTCCACTTAAGACTCATTGGTAGTATTTTGCCTTATTTACATCTCTCTACGCATGTGTGTTTAATGACATGTATTTTAGCATGTATCTCCTAAGAATGAAGACATTTTTCCACATTACATTATGAATAGAAACAATAACTGCCTTATAGTCTCTATACGGAGTCCTTAACCAAAATTCCCCAATTGTTTCAAGAATGATTTTTTTTTTAAAAACCACATCCAATCAAGGTTCATACATTAGTGTTGGTTATAACTATAGTTTCTCTAATCTAGAACTGATGTTTTCTGTAACACTTTTTCAAGTATCCACCTATATTCTGGACTTGCCTGATGATTTTCCTGGGCCAGTTTCTAAACTCCACTCCTTGTTCATCTCCCTGTGGAGCTACAAAAAGCTCTGCCAGCAGTTCCTGTGTTCTCCCGGGGTCTAGTCCTTCATGCCTAGTCCCTATTCCATGTCTCCTCCCTCTGCTTGTATATCTTGCACCATCAATGTAAGGGGCAAACCTACTCCACTCTGCTCTGTGCCCTTCACCTGACAGCTAGATTTTCCAGTCACTGAAAGTACATTAGGCACATAGCACAGAGTTTACATGTATTATCTCGCTACATGGGGAGGTGTCAAACTATGCCTGTTTCACAGCTAAGAAAAGTGAGTTTATAGAGGGGCTAAGTAGCTTGTGGAAGATCACAGCTGGTGAGCAGGAGTGCTGGGATCCAAATGCAGTCAAGTCAGCCTCAAGAGAGAGCTGCACTTCCATTAGCCATGTGGGTTTACACCCTCTTCCTTCTTTTTTCCCTCCCTCTCTTCCTTCCTTTTCTTTCTTTCCTTCTGGTACCAGGGCTTGAACTGATGACCTACACCTTAAGCTCCTCCACCAGCCAGTTTTTTTTGTGTGTTAGGTATTTTTGAGACAGGGTCTTGAGAACTTTTTGCCTGGCTGGCCTTGAACCACAATCCTCTTGCTCTCTGCCTCCTGAGTAGCTAGGATCACAGGTGTGAGCCACTGGTGCCTGCCCAGCCCCCATTTTCTTATTAACTCCATTTCTAGTTAGTGGAATTAACAGGAATTAGTGACATTTATAGCTACTGAGCATTCATCATGTGTAACAGCTGTGCCAAATATTTTACAATAATTCCCTGTCATGCAGCAACCTCAAGACATACTCTCATTTTGTAGATAAGGAGACAGGCTCAGAGGAGTTAAATATATTTGCATTCACAGAACTGTTATGTAGCAGAGTGGAATTTAAACTCCAGTCTTACTAAATCTTAGGTACCTGCTCTACTAAGTCTATTTGTATGAAATATTGCACTTGCCCTCCTTTTGATGCCATGGCTCAACATCCATTTATCATTCATCTGGGATTTATCTTCCCCGTCCCCCTTCCCTGTGTCTAAACAACCTGGTCAAAGCCGAAAAACTGTCCTAAGTCAATCTTGATTACACTGCTTTTCCTACTTAAAAGCCATCCAGATCATCTACACCTACTCATTATAACCCAAGCTTTGACTCTGTGGCCCTTACATTCGAGTCTCCCACCTTCACCTGTGCCAGTCTTATCTGTCCCCTTGCCTCTGTGTATGCTCCAGCCAAACTAGACAATCTCCTTCCACTCATGCCCTGTTGTTGACACCTCTGTGCCTGAGTTTGCCTTCCCTCTACTTAAAAAGCCCCTTCAACCTCTGAATGTGAAAAGTTCCACCCAGGACCGGGGGTACAGCTCAGTGGTAGAGTACATGCCTAGCATGTATAAGGACCTGGTCCCCAGGACTACAAAAAAAAAAAAAAAAAAAATCTGAGACCATGAAGCTTTCCTTGACCTCTCATTTAGAGGCATTCTTTACTTCTCTGAACTCTCCTAGCATTTTTGTGTCTTACAACCCCTACTTAGAATAGGCCATCCAGCACAGGGCCATGTGGGTTCTTACCTTACCTCCCCTACAAGACCCTGAGCCCTTGCGGGTGGTTTACTCATCCTTCCACTCCTATAGTGCCTAATGTCTTGCAAGTAATAACTGCTCAATAAATATCTGAGGGATTGAATCCACTGAGTCTAAGATTTTATACAGGCTACTTTTCTGTAATAGAAATACAATTTGTCTTTATCTGAGTAAAGTTCCTGAGAGAAAAAGATAGCCCAAACAGAAGTAGTAATGATTTGCTAAGGCTCTTTAGCCAATGAAGATTTTAAAAGTACCAGCTATTAGGTTATTTGGTTTGAACCCAGTCAACTATTCTAGTATGTCTTTGTAGGGAATTTTTTTTTTTTGTGGAACTATTTTGTCATTATACAAGTAATGTAATGCAATGCTGCCATCTAGGAAGAACAGCAATCTCCTGGTTCTGTCACTTAGGCTGCCTTCTTTTGTCTTTTGCAAGTTTTACATTATTCTAATAACAGTGTAAGTTATTTCTTTTAAGTACTAGAACTTCATGTAGACTTAAAAGTCAGGCTATAAGGTCTGAATTTGAATTTTTAAAAGCAAAAAAACCTTTTATAAATGTTACTCTTTCAATTTCACCAGTTGTCAGAACCATTAAAATAAAGCAAAGATTCAGTTTTAGAATCTTACCGGCTCCCTACAGAAAGAATGCTGATGGGAGCCTGAGTGCCCTGTTGGGGACTGAAGAGAAGAATGGGCCCAGCACTGCCTGAGTACTGGCTATTGGGAGTTAAGGGAAGAGGTTTTACTCTGCGCTACACACTTCTGCACTGTAATGTTTTGTAAAAGCATGAGCTGGCTTTTATAATAAAAAAAATTTTAATTTACATTTTACAAACAAATCATCTTTCAGCATTTGGCTCCCTTAGTCAAACAAAACCTCGAACCCAAGCATGGATATAATCAACATTTCCAGAAAAGCCAAGAAAGAAATGTAGCCCTTATCCAACGCCATCATTTGACAGAACAGGAAAATGAGTGCCAGAGTGATTTGTACACTCTCAGGAGATTGTGGCGGTACCAGACTACATGACTCGAGCTTCTTCAACAGACAGTCTGCCTCTTTGGTCCTGAGGATTCCTTGCTCACCTGGAAAAGCACAATGTCTATCAGGACCAAGCATCTGAGCTGGCAAAGACGCAGGCATGAACTGAGAGGTGAAATCAGGGCAGTGAATCAACCTCTCTGGCTGTGGCAGACTGCTCATAGGCAGTTACCACAGCTGACTGGTGATGGTGACATGCCTTGTGTGTATCATCAGGGCTCCTGATATCCATGACTGGACTTACTGATGGCACCACCCTGGAGCTGTAGTTGAGAGGGATATAAACACTGGAAAGGTGGGCAGTTGGAACAGGGGTACAACCTGTGGCCTGGAACTCCTTAATCCTGCCATGATGAAAGTTCCTGCTCATTCTTCAGGCTGTTATCTGGCAGGGAGAAGGGCATGTGGGAAAAGCAGGTAATGACAACTTGAAATGGGTAGCCTTTCTAGCACCTGAGTTGTCATCCTTAGAGTCAAGGAAGGGTTTGATTTCGGCTGAGTTTCCACTTTTACTGTGTCCTTAAAAGAAGGAACTCAAACACTAGGCTTTTGTTTTTTGTTTCTGAGATTGTTTTCTTTTTCTGCCATGGACTCATTCCATTCGACTTCTGACCTTTTTACCCTTCCAGAACCTGAACATGTTTCTTTGCCTGGAAAGTGGATGAAGTGATCTCCAGCTAAAGGTGGACTTTGGCTCTAAACTGCTATGAATGGAGGAAATACAATAAAATAAACCCACATTTTAGTCAATCAGTTCCTCAGATTAATTGAATTTTGTTAACTGCAGATTTAGAAGAAAATGTTTAGAGTCACAAACACAAGCTTATTAGTAAAATAAAAAATACATTAAAACTAACAGGAGCATTAAGGCACTAATTACAGTAGACTCACTACCTACAACTGAAACTGGGCAGCAGTCCTGGGCACACTCCCAAACTACACTCACTTTTGTCTTCAGCACCACGCAAGCAGGGCACATAGAACTGCCCATGTTTGGGGGTGGACAAGTTTTCCAGAGGAAGCGAGGTTGGTCTTCATATTAGTTTCTATTGCTGGCTTAATAGATTACCACATTCTAGTGACAAAACAATACAAACTTGGGCCAGATACAGTGGCTCACACCTGTTATGCCAGCTATTAGAGGTAGAGATCAGGACAATCACAGTTCAAAGCCAGCCCAGACAAAAAGTTATTGAGACCTCCACCTCAACAAAAAAGCTGTGCTTGGTATAGTGTGTGATTGTCATCCTAGCTACTGTAGAAAGCATAAATAAGAGGATGGAGGACAGCCAGGGCAAAAACACAGGACCTTTTCTGAAAAATAACTCATGCAAAAAGGGGATGGAAACATGACTCTAAGTGACAGAGCACCAGCCTAGCAAGTGCTAGGCTGAGTTCAAACCCCAGTACTACCTAAAAAACAAACTTTTCTTAGAGTTCTGCAGGTTGTAAGTCTGAAATGGATCTCAAATGTTCCTTTCTGGAAACTCCAAGGGAGAATCTGTTTTTGCCTTTTTCATCTTCTAAGGACTGCCCACATACATCGGCTTGTGGCCCCTTTCTACTCCAATGCTAGCAAGGACCAAGCAAATCTTTGACACTGCACTTTTCTGCCTCCCTCTTCCATACTTAAAGGACACTTTCTTTATGTTAAGGTCAGCTGGTTACAACTATAATTCCCCATTCCTGCCATGAAACACTGATGCTCAAATACTGACATACAGACATCTTAGAGGGCAGTGCATTATTCTGTCTACCACAGCACTATACTGAGGACTATGGCAAATGTGTCTGATGGGTGAGCCTGGAATTTAACACTATAGTAGGGGTGCTGATCTGTCCCTTCTTATATCAGTGCCTGCTGTGTCTCTGCCTGGTGTAGGGTGTATTCATTGATTTTCCTGGAGCTGATACCTGGAAGGTGGGTGTCAAGAATGCCTCCTTAGTTCTGAAAACGTTTGTGAATTTATGCACCTATTAAGGTTCGGTTGATGAGGAAGATTGTGGTGGCATGTAACACTTTGGAATCAGATGTGAGTTAAAATCTAATCTTGGGCTAGGGTTGCAGTTTAGTAGAGCACTTGACTAGCATGCTTAAGGTCCTGAATTTGAGCCCCAGTACCACAAAAAATAAATTTTAAAAATCTAGGCTTGCTGCCACTTTTGCTAGTTGTTAATCTTGGCAACCACACTAACCCTCTGAAACCTGATTTCCTCATCTATAAAATGGGATAACACATGCTCTACAGGTTAAGAAGAAAGGTATTATTTAGGTAAATTCTGAAGTATGGTTTGAGGTATGACTTCCATTTCTCCTACTTATCTGAAGGGAGCTCAAAACCAATCCTATGAACTTCAGAAAGGGCCAGTTCCCTTGGGGGATTCATTACTGAGAGTAGCTGCACACAAGCCATAAAGATTTGCCAAGTCATTCTCCTTCCCACTACCAAATCAGCTGCTTCAATCAAAATTCAGTAGTACTTGGGACTAAGAATGTGACAAATCTTACAAGGGACATACAACAATCCATCCATCTGAGGTAGTTTTCCATTCAAAGTAGTCACCCCTGAAGACTATATACAGTTATCCAAAAATGCTTCCATGCTTAAAACCTTTCTGAAACTTCTCTTTTACAGTGGCCATTGAAGTCTCCAGCACATTTTTTAAAATATCCTAAAATTAACAAATACTCATCTTTCTAGGGAAATATTTTAAAAAATAGCTGGCCAATTATTCAGAGCCCAGTGGGGTGAATATGGTAGATGATTAACCAGATTAATATTTCTGGTTAATAAGGTGAGGTTACAATACAGCCAGGATAATTATTCTTGTGTGGTGAATAAATTGGTTTTGATGGCATTGTAACTTAAGGTTAAGTAAAGGCAGCATGGTCATGGTAGAAATTAAAGCCCATTTTAGTTGGTTTATGATGTGAATGAATTCAGGTAGCACAGGGAGTCATTATATATTTGAATAGTATTAAATGTTTCTTTTTATGAAAATCTTAATTATGACATTCTCTGGAATCTGATTTCTCAGTATTAAAGTGAGGCTTTAATGAAAAACATTAAATGGTAATGAGAGTTTTATTCTTTCAGCATATATTCTCATAGGCTTTTGGTCAAGATATGTAATGATCAGATGAATGAGCTGGCAACCTTTCTGCCCTCTGAAGTCTGTTCACAATTGGAAGCTAAGTAATAACATTGTCACATGTTTAAATACATTTAATAATATTCCAGCAAATTGTCCTTGTTGTCTGGTTGCTGAGCAATGAAATACCAAGGTGAATGAAGAAAGCTAGCTTTTCCATTCAGTTATATATTAATTAGTGTGGTTAGTATATTTGTCCATCTGTCTAGGTCCTTAATTGCCTGCAGCATAAACAGGACCATAGTCTTGCTTCCTGCTGCATTCCTAGTGCCTAGAACCATGCCTGACTTAGCAATGGGCTACATATGCTCACTACCATGCCCAGCATGACAAAGATTTTATATACTAGTACTTTGTCATAAGTTCACTTAAAACTCGTTTTTCAAATCACTGATCCAATCACTAAATTACACAACCCATTAACAGATGATGTGTCACAATTAGATTTTCAGTTTTACAGGCATTGCCTTAGGAGTTACAGTTGTAAGGGGGACTGGCGAGGTAGACATTAGGAAGCCAAAGTGGTGATTCCAGTTCTCATGCCCTTAACCATAATAAATGTTCATTGATCTATTGATCTGGTTTATAGTTCAAGCTTCCAAACAGGTTCCATATGAAGCTAAAGTTATTGCATAAAAATCAAGGGGTGGGGAATGATCTGTTTGCCTATAACCATTTGGTTTTTATCTCTGAGGCAATGTGGAATCCAAGGTGTGTGTGTGTGTGTGTGTGTTTACAAACATATACCATTCAGTTAACCATGCAATTATACCATTTTACTTTTAAAAGCTAAATATAGAGCTGAATGCAGTGGTGTACACCTGTAGCCCCAGCTGCTCAGGAGGATTCCTTGAACCCTGGGTTAGGGGCTAGCATGAGTGATATAACAAGATCTTGTCTCAAAAAAACAAGTTCAAATACAAAAATAATAAAATAAGAAGTGAAAGAGTCTGCCTGCTCCCTGGATACAACTCAACATATATCTCTCACTGTTTTTGAAATGAAAATGACATTATGATATACATACTATAATCTTTTTAAAATTAGATACTACTGACAGGCCAGGTGTGGTGACACACACCAGTAATTCTAGCACTTGGGAAGTAGAGGCAAGAGGATCATGAGTTCCAGGCCAGCCTGGCTTACTTAATAAAATGTTGTCTCAAAAACTTAAGGATTGGGGATATAGCTCAATGATAGAGTGCTTGCCTAGCATGTGCAAGGTTCCTGAGTTGCATCCCCAGCACCACAAAAACAAAAGTTGTAACAGAATATTCTCCTGTATCACAGCACAGAACATCCCATATTACTTATTTGAATAACTATACAGTTTTACATAGTAAGGATGCATCACAATTTAACCAATTCCCCTGGTCTCTACTGATGGAATGGTTAAGTTACCTGGCCAACAGTTATCTGCCTATTCAATGTCTACTGCTCGCTTCTGCTTTGTCCACTGAATCCCAATTGTGTTCCAATGGAATCCCAATTGTGTTCCAATGGCAACATGCTCAGCCCTAAAAGATGGTTTACGATTGTCTTAAGCCAACTGTGACCAACCTTGTTGCCTGCTTTTATAATGTCCTTCCTTCAGGAAGCCATGCTATGTGGTTCTGGCTAAGGAACCCAACTGGTGAGTGATAACATTTTCTGAGGATGCTTTTGTTCCCTGATAAAACAGAAATGGCACTGTGCATTGCTCTTACCCCATATTTCCTGTTTGAGATGACTATGATGGCTAGTATTTTAAAAATCATTTTGCAACTACAAGGCCACAAGCTAACACTAAGATAAGTAAAGCAGGGAGGCACAAGAAAAAGCCTGGGCCTCCCCATACACAGGAACACAGAAACACCTCACCTTAAAAAATCCAAGTGTATTCTACTTTAAAGTCTAAAAAAGAAAAAATGAAATGTTTTAAGCCAAAGATTCAGAGCAGAATATAAGTGATAAGCAATGTCTTCCGGAACCAAACATGAAGAAAAATGCTTTTGACTGTTCCTTAGAACACCTCTGTGGGCTGGGTCCAAATGTGCTCTGGCACCCTGCCACATGTGCTCCTCCATCCCACAACTTTATAGGATGGCCTTTATACAATCTCTGACATCTCCTGCTTTCCCTTGTTTGAGATGCCTATCTTCTTTAGTCTGCCCTGAAAATATGCCAGATTTAAAAATAATCTTTTGCATGAAAAATGGGAAGGTGAACTATTACTTTTTGTAAATTCACAAACAGAATAAAAATTAACACTAGAAGTAAAGGCTGTTTCAAAAGCAGAAAAAAGTTCCTTACCTTTTGAGGATAAGAGTGCTTCCCCTATCTACTCAACATCAGAAAACAGCTTCTGTTATTTTAATGTGGTTGATTTTTTTCAGTTCTAAACTTTACCAATTTCTCATGTTCTGGCAAAAATAGGAGATTTCTTAAAATTCAGCAACTTGTAGCTCTTTTTAAAATAGCACTTAAAAGCTATTAAATTAGCAAACTTATACTGTATGAATAAACTACTATTTAAAACATTACACATAAAACATATATAATTTTATACATAATCCAAACTGTACATAACTCACATTTATGCTTCTAAATAGAAGCTCACATTTGTGCTACTTTTACAGTTTACAAAGTGATTATTACATACATTTTCTCATTTGTTCTTCAACAGAGACATGTGAAATAAATATTACTCTTGTTTTACAGATGGAAATAGACCCAGACATTATTCAGTACATTAACCACTATACAGTATAGCCCTGAGACTTTGGATCTGCAAAGGGGTTTAATAATGCAAGTAATACATGTATTTCAATTTTTATCACCATTTTCAAGTTCTGCTTTCTTAGCAAAAAAATTAAGAAAAATATTTTCCCTGGTGTAATTAAAAAAAAAAAAGGAACATTATAGTCATATTCTAATCCTGTGAGATCTACCAGAAGCAAAATCCATCTTGAAGGTCTTACATTATTACTATCCAGGGCACCAGCACTAGAACCACATATGGGTCAGTAATATTGGTAGCCTTACTTCCTAAGTTATCTTCTCTACTGTATAGTTTTTATTTTCAGAATTTTCATTTCCTTATTTCAAAATCTTGAATACAGTTCTTCATAGTAGGTGTGGGAGCTATAGTTTGTATTCACTGTCAGAAGGGGTCGATTCCAGTGTTAAATTTCCCAGTGAACAGTTGGCAGAAAGGAAAAGAGCAGTAGTAACCTGTACCTGCAGGCCATACTACGTTCTCTAGCACTAGAGGACTAGTCTTCTGCCATAGCTTCACAAATTCAAAGACAATAATTCTGGCTGAATGCAAATTCAAACTAGACCATATGTTTAAATCACTGCTTCAACAAATCAGTCTTTTAAATGATTTTTATTGTGTCCCAGGACATATTCAATAAATATCTTGAGTTCGAGACCTTGGCAAGGTAATCAGCGCTAGAAATCAGATTTCTCTGGCACAACTCCATTGCCTGCAATGGTATTTATCAAAATTACAAATGCCAGTACACTAAATATGTCAATACTGTATTCAGTTGTTCATATCTAAATATTTTATCATCTAGGAAACAAACCAATGTAAATGCTGAATATGTAATACAAATCAACAGATTCTTCACAGAAGAAAATAAAAAACTAATTTTCTACAACTTGTCACCTCTTCATTAGTTCTTCAATATTACTTCAGCTAAGGATAATAAAATTTTCATGCCACTTCCCATGTTTGCTTGGCATTTTTTTAAATCTAAGTTCTAAAGGGCATAAACAAGGATACACAGAGTCAGAATTGTTTTTAAAAACTTTTGACATTTCTTTTGCTGTCATAATAATGAATATATGGAAACAAGGAAAAATGAATACTTAAGTCATTAGTGGTTATATGAACTTTGCTTACATGGCTAGTGGCTTCTGTAGGTGTTTCAAACGACAAGATAAAATAACACTTGATAAGCTCCATCCATGCTCTGGGAACCTTACTCCACTTACTGCATAACTTGATTTAGTTACTATTTATTAGTTTAAAAAACAAGTATTCTAAAAGCTGCAAACCATACTTTATTACATATTTCTGAATCATGAGAGGGTAATTTGTGATACAGTACCCTCATGCCAGTGACTTTTTTGGAGAGAAAATTTTTTTGAAATAATTATTTTCAAACTCTTAAAAAAACAAAACAAACAAAAAAATACTTGAATCGTATTCTGACTGACCTTCATTCTACAGTCCCTTTTACCCAAGGCATGGTCCCTGGTGCATCTTTAGGAGGTTTAGTTTCTGGGAAGTTCTCAGCAAACCTTTCTCGAGCTTTGTCCCAGTTCTTTTTGTTCTTGCTCTGAAGAAGTTGAACATCTTCAATTGAGGATGGCTTACCTGTCCCCAAGCCTGCATGTGTTCGCCGAAGGTGAAGCTGAATCTGTTAGCAATTATTCAGCAGAGGACTTATGTTAGAGTTTAAACACACACTGAAATCTGCTATTTTCAAAACAAGAATGCTAAGCATTATGCATCACAAGGGGTAGGGGGATATAGATCAGCAGTAGAATGCATGCCTAACATGCACAAAGGCCTGAGTTCTAGTGCTAGCAACACACAGAGAATCATAAAGAGAACATTTCTGCCTATTTTCTTAAGAGGAGGAAGGGCTTCCCATGATTTTGAGAACATTAAAAACTAACAGTGACTGAGTGGCATATGTAAGGCACCATGCTCAGGGGGTTTATCTTCAGAACATCCTTGAAAAACAGTTCTTATCATCCCCCTCCCCCTCATTTTTTTTTTTGTTTTTTGGTGGGACTGTGATTTGAGCTCAAGAGTTTCATGTGTGTAAAGCAGGTGCTCTACTGCTTGAGCCTCACCTCCAGTCCATTTTGTTCTGGTTATTTTTTGGAGATGGGGTGTCTCAAACTATTTGCCTGGGATGGCCTCTAAAATGTTATCCTCTGGATCTCAGCCTCCCAAGCAGCTAGGATTATAAGTGTGAGCCACCAGCACCTGGGTTTGTCATCCTTTTTTTAACATAAGAAAAGTAAAGTTCAAACTTGCCCAAAGACATAATGATAGAGCCCATATAATATTCTGATCTAGGTCTGATTACAAAACAATGGTTTCTTTACATCCTACAAAACTGATATACTCACAATGATCTATTTCTTTAGGTACCTAGTAATCATGAAGCTCTAAGGTCAGGTTACTTTATAAGGCCTTTTTTTTTTTCTTTTTTTTAAAAGAGATTAACTGTAATATCTTATGAACTATAGGACTACAGAATTAAACCACAGTACTGTTTGCAGACATTATTCTTTTATGTTGCATGTTACATGCTCTGATTCTTGAACCTAAAGATTCTCCAGCTAATAAAGAATCTTCCTGTCTGTAAACTAACACTAATTGTTCCTGCAGTGTTCAGTATCAGCATAGTAAGGACTTACTAAAAACAACTATAAGGGTTAGGGATATTGCTCAGTGACGGAATGCTTGCCTAGCACATGCAAGGCCCTGGGTTTAACAACAGACACACAAGAACCTTTGGCTCAGGAAATAGGATTTACTATCATAGCCTGATATAGGAAAAAAATTCTAAAGGAAGCTTTCCCAAAACATAAAATACCGAAAAAATACACACTGTTAACTGTGAGTGCCACAAAGCAGTAATCACATCTGCTTTGACTTGCTACTATATACTTAGTATTTAAGGCAATGCCTGGAACATTAATGTCTGCTCTGAGAACAAATGCATGAAAGGAAATACGAGTCTTACCGGAGTTTTCATTCCTCCACCATCCTTTCCCAGGCCCTCTCCTTTTTTCCAACCCATCTTCTCCAACATCTTCCGACCTTTGTTGCTATCAGTAATTTCACTTGAAGGAAAATTAAGATGATAACTAATTTATTTCAAAGACCTTTTAGGCCACATTTATAATTTCATGAGCATAAAATAATTGGTACAACTACTTCAAAAAAACTTGTTGGCACAATCTCTTAGATTTTCATTTAGAAGTTTTATAGTTTTAGCTCCTATATTTACACCTATCATCCAATGTGTGTTCATGTTTTTTATGGTGTAAGGATAGAAGTTACTATTTTTGCACATGGATATCCAACAGTGTTAGCAGTTGTTGAAAACTACTTTTTCCTTTTCCCATTGAATTACATTAGGTATTGGTCAAAAAAATCACTTGACCTTATACACTATCCCTATTTCTGGTCTCTCTGGTTTGTATGTCTGTTCTTATACCAGTTAAAATGTCTTCATTTAAAAAAGAGGAAAAAAAACTGTTTGCATTACCTACTAAAGTTTCTACCCCTACATATGCTACCTAACACAAAAGAATGTATATGTGCACCAAATGATGTGTACAATAATGTTCTTCCAGCAAATCTTTGGAAGCAATCCAGATGTCTATTATTGGTAAAAGGGACAAATTGTGGTAATCCATTAGAGTATTTTGCAGCAATGAAAACAAACTGCTGAACAAAATCATGTGAAACAAAAAACACTATAGACACAAAATAAATAAATTATTCCACTTTAAAATATTTTAAAGTAAATGAAATTAATCTATTATGTGTAACCTGCATGTGTTAATATTACTGTTGTATACTTAAAATTTGTACACTTTTCTGTACATGCATTATACATCAATTTAAAAAAGTAAAATTAGGAAAAAGAAAGCCTCTCATTCACTATTTGCATTCTGTGCTACAATTTTACATTCTGCTAATTTGAGTGTTTTGATCTGATGTTTTTCATTATCTTTTCAGTTCTACAAAATACACTAATTTAGCTCCTTAATAAGCAATGTCAGCATAAGTGTTTCATTTTGGATTTCTGCCTTTTAATTTAACTCTAATGAAATCTTCAGTTACTAACAATTATTTTTAAAAATACTCAATTTAAAGATTGTCATTCTGCTTTAGCGTATCTAACGTGAAACACTGATTCATTAAATCTGACTTTATGAATTGTGAGACATACTGTGGTTTTATGCACCATTAAAAAAAAATTACTGCCATTTGTAATGGTAAAACTATCACAAGTAATATACCTTGGAATCAGTGAAATACGATATTTAATCAAAATTGTAAAATTATTTATCACTTCTGCATGAAAGATTAAACTTTGGCTCAACCTAGTATGAAAAAATGGAGCTAATATAATTTAATGCAGAAATATTGTCTCATTATAGGCATCAAAACTATATTTTTCACATTTATCGAAGCTACTTTATAAGGAAAAAAGTGAAATAAAAAGAGTATTTCACAATGAATAAAAACAAAAGTTTTTGAATGCTAAAATAGTCATTTAAAACAACAAAAAACAGCCCATACCAAAATTTCTTACTAGTTAGCCTAGGCTTCTAGATACATAGTACATAAAAGTATAGTCACATGATTAGGTGTTTAGAATGTTAGTCATGTATATATTTCACGTTTAAGTATGTGTGTGAGTATATGCTAACATTAGAACAAAGAGTAAACAGACTTAGTGTTTCTATCTTGGTCCAGCTATCCTTTAAAGCTACCTGTCAGAATACACTGTCCTTAAGTGAGACTACCCTGTGAATGTAATTAAGAAACAAAGAATGTCTCAAGCAATATGACTCAATACTCACGAATGAACAGATGCAGGAGCATCATCTCGTTGGAAAGTCCCTTCACTCCCAACCTGCTCCCTGCGTTTTCCAGCTCTGTCTTTATATTTTGGATTCTTCAATGCCTTTTCATCTTCATAGTCTGTGTTCTTAATAAACACAAAATATTCATTCAGAAAAAGCAAATAGTTAAAATATAATTTCTATACATGTGCATTACTTAGCAAATAGGGTTTAATGTGGCTTCTACAAATGAAAAATAAAGCAAGCTATAATATAAAGACTGTTAAGTATACTTTTAGTCTACCTTCTTTAAAATTTGTGTATTATTTCAAGTTGTACTATGACATAAACAGTAAGGAGATTTAACATGATGAAGATGTGGTACATTTTCACTTAATGTTGTGTTCTTACATTGTCATATGAACTACATATTGAAAGGAAAATACAGAACTCCTGGGAGCAGGGGAAAAATTCATTTCCCCCTTTTCTCTAAGGAACTGGAAATTCCAAAGAACCTAAAATAATTTGATACTGTTTTTTAAAAGGGAAAAACACAGAAATGTTTTTGTTTATTTATTTATTTTTTTTGCAGAGGTCGGAAAGATTTTATTTGTAGAGAAGAGAAGAGAAAGAGACTACATAGTGGAGAATGCAGGGGGACCCGGAACCTGGTGATCCCATGGGTCCAGTTAAGGATTGGGTTTTACAGCCTTTTTTTGCATTGCCTGGGGGCAGAGATGTCTCTCAGTTGCAGACAGGTTTCCTGGGAAGGAGAGGTGTCTCCTTGACCACTTTTTGGGACCTCCTGCAGTCTGTCCTTCAGTTCTTCAGTCTCTTAACATTCCCCTCCCCCACTTTTTTTGTATTACAGTGCACTGACCTCTTTAGATTCCTCAAGAAGCCCACTGCTTCAGAGCACTGATATCTGCTATTTCTCTACCTGGAGCCCACTTCCTCCCTAAATTTCCACAGGATAAGGTTAGTCAGTTTTTTCAGGTCTTCTCCTCAGAAAGTTTTTAAACTATGAGAAAAAGGTTCACCCTGATGATAGTAACTTTTTGCTTCAATACAACTCCATTTATATTGCTCATCTGCCATTCAGCAAACACTTACTGAGCAGTGTGTGTTAAACTCCATGCTAGGTAATGGAATGCAAAGAAATTTAAAATGCCCCAGGGAAGACACACATAATTTTTAACCTGCTGCAGTATGACTGGTTCAAGAATAAAGATACACCAAGGGGTGGCCGTGACACACTGAAGAAGCAGGCAGTTCAGCTTGAGGTTCCAAAGGCTTTCTTTCCTCTATTTTTTCTGATCTTTACATAAAAAGTATGATTTATCCAGAGATGTTAAGGACTGTAGAGCAACTGAAGTAAAGTACTGGAGACGTTTTCACTTAATTTTACTTTTAAACAGAGAAGAAAAATACAGAACCACCTATCCTAGCAAGTTTTCCTCCTCAGAAGACAATACAAAAATTGTGTTAAAGTTTTTTGAGAAAACATTTTATTCTCTTTGTGTGTCTGTCTCCCTCCCAAACTGACCTACTTCAACAGTAACAACAAAAAATATGACTGTGCAGAAAAACGTATCTTGGCAACAACTTTTTTGACATCTTCATGAAGTGTAAAAAGCACTGGACAATTATCTAGATTCCATAGTTCTATCACATTTAGTAGCTGGGACACTAAGTTTTAGTTTCTCAAAAGTAAACAGGAAATATGAATTGTCTTCTTGTTCTACTTATAAGATTAAATGGAACTTTTTAAAAACAGCTTTACTAAAGTACAATTAACATACAATAAATTACACATACTTTACAATGACTTACTTCTGAGATTCATATCCATGAACCTATCACCAAGGTAAGAAAACAAACACATCCTTCTCCCCCAAAAGTGTCACTGAACCTCTTTGTATGCGGCCATCCAGACCCTTCCGGTGTGTTCTTACTCCGGGTCCAGGAATCACTGAACCTTTTAATTTACTTTTTTTTTTTAAATAGTGTACACATTACTTGTACAAAACCCTGATGTTTCTGTCACAACACATTAGTCTGCTTTCCTAGAAGTTTATATAAATAGTGTAGGGCATTTTGCCAGGAAGTCTTGGACCAACGCAATTCTCACCCTTTCTCAAGAATGACAGGAAGCAACACCACGAACAACAGGTGTTGGCGAGGATGAGGGAAAAAGGAACCTTCTTATACTGTTGGTGGGAACGTAAACTACTACAACCACTCTGGAAAAAAATTTGGAGGCTACTTAAAAAGCTAGACATTGATCTACCATTTGATCCAGCAATACCACTCTTGGGGATATACCCAAAAGACTGTGACACAGGTTACTCCAGAGGCACCTGCACACCCATGTTTATTGCGGCACTATTCACAATAGCCAAGTTATGGAAACAGCCAAGATGCCCCACCACTGACGAATGGATTGACAAAATGTGGTATCTATACACAATGGAATTTTATGCAGCCATGAAGAACGAAATGTTATCATTCGCTGGTAAATGGATGGAAGTGGAGAACATCATTCTGAGTGAGGTTAGCCTGGCCCAAAAGACCAAAAATCGTATGTTCTCCCTCATATGTGGACATTAGATCAAGGGCAAACACAAGGGGATTGGACTTTGAGCTCATGATAAAAGCTTTAGCACACAAGGGAGGGGTGAGGATAGGTAAGACACCTAAAAAATTAGGTAGCATTTGTTACCCTTAACGCAGAGAAACTAAAGCAGATACCTTAAAAGCAACTGAGGCCAATAGGAAAAGGGGACAGGAACTAGAGAAAAGGTTAGATCAAAAAGAATTAACCTAGAAGGTAACACACATGCACAGGAAATTAATGTGAGTCAACTCCCTGTAGAGCTATCCTTATCTCAACCAGCAAAAATCCTTGTTCCTTCCTATTATGGCTTATACTCTCTCTACAACAAAATTAGAAATAAGGGCAAAATAGTTTCTGCTGGGTATTGAGGGGGTAGGGGGAAGAGGGAGGGGGCGGAGTGGGTGGTAAGGGAGGGGGTGGGGGCAGAAATGACCCAAGCCTTGTATGTACATATGAATAAAAAAAAAACAAAAAGAATATATAAACAAATAAATAAATAAAAGAATGACAGGAATGTGCTGGGAAGGTAACACCCTGAGATTTGGAGGGACTGACTGGAACAGTTGGGATTCTGCCTAGAAACAGATGTCCTTCAACAATTTAGCCTAGTGAGTTACAACATAGTCCCACAGATCGACAGGCTGCTTTCTGAGGTCCCTCATCTGCAGGGCAGGTGAGACACACAGAGTTGATCCTCCATTCACTGGAAGACAGCTTTTTGGGCTCTGGGGACTGGTTCACTGGTTCTGCTGTCCCTTGCTGACTATCTTATAACTTGTGTATGAGTGTGTTCTGTCTCATTGTGCTCAGAAAAGTTGGAAACCAGGGTACAGTTCACAAGTAGAACATATTGTATGTACTCATTTTATCTGGCTTCTCTCACTCACAATTACTTTGATACTTATCTAGGTTGGAACCTACATCAATAGTTCTTGCTTTTTTATTGCTACATAATATTCTACCATAGGACTGTACCAGTCTGTTTATTCATGTATGATGGACATTTGAGTTTCCAAGTTTGAGGCAATTACAAAAAAAATAAGAAGCTATGAATATTTACTAGAATTTATATCAAAATATGCTTGCATTTCTCTTAAGTAAATATTATGAAGTAGAATGGAGAATCATCTAAGTGTATCTTATACTTTTTCTTTCTTTTTTTTCTTTGTGGTGCTGGGGATCAAACATAAGGCCTCATACATGCTAAGAAAGTGCTATACCGCTGAGCTATACCTCCAGCCCCCTTTTACTTTTAAAAATCTACTAAAATGTTCTAAAGCAATTGTACCATTTTACCTTCCCACCAGTACTATACGAGTTCTGTTCTGCCACATCCCTTCCAACATAGTTTAAAATTTTAAGCACTAATACATATGTAGGGTATCTCACTATGGCTTTAATTCCCATTTCCTTAATGACTAGTAAGTTTTTCATGTTTACTTGCCACCTGTGTATCATCTTCTTTGTAAAGCGTTTCTTCAAATTTAATTTAATCTAATTTTTTTTTGCAATAAGGCCTTATTATGTTTAAGTTGGTCATGAACTAAGTCTTGGGCTCAAGCAATCCACCTGCATTGGTCTGAGCAGCTGAGACTACAAGCACACACCACTGTGCAAGGAAGCTCATTTTTTAAATTGTTGTTTTCTCATTGAGAGTTTTAAAATATATTCTAGGTGACTTGAAAGTATTTTCTAAGTTCATAGCTGTCTTTTCATTCTTTTAGTGGTCTTTGAAAAAGTTTTAAATTTTGAGGAAGTATAGATTATCAATTTGGTTTCTTTTTCCTTTTTTTTTTGCAGTACTGGGGCTTGAACTCAGGGCTTTGTGCTTGCTAAGCAGGTGCTCTACCAAAAGCATAATCCTTAAGAACAAATTGATGGCTGGTCTGGAGTACTGAGTATCTCAGAAATCTGTGTCTAATATTTTTATATTTTTAAGGTTCAAGGAGTTTTAAAAATGTTACTTTTTACATTAATATCTATGATACACCTTCAGGTCATTTTTTTGTTTGTTCTTTTGGTTTACTTTCTTTTGAATATGCCCATTCAATTTATTCTAGCACTGTCTGTTGGGAAAAAACACATTTTCTCCACCAACCTGATATTACATCATGACTGAAAATGAAGTTTTCCATATGTAAAACACGGATCTGTTTCTGGATACATTTGTTCTATCCAGCTATTTATCTTTAAGTCAATATGATACTATCTTAATCACTACAGTTTATAATAAGTCTTGAAGTCAGAAAGAATTAATCTTCTGTTCTACTAAGGCATCTTAATGCAAGTTTTTAAAAGTTTGATGTCAACTCAATTGTAGGCCATATTATATAATTTTCTACAGCAACCTTAGCAGTTGTTAGTGTATGAATACAAAATTAGTAGGAATTACATAAATCTCAAAATCACACTAAGTAGCTCTTTATTATATAGAATGTACTCAGCATGTCTGAAGGCATTTTCATTCAAAATCATATATACACTTTAACATATGGAACAGTATTTAACATCCTTACCTGTAAACCATATTTTACTCGTATTTTCTTTAATTCTTTTCTTCTTTCCAACTCCTTTTCCTCCCTGCTTAATGCTAGACCAACTAAAATGAAAAAAGTGAGTTTGGTTAAAAAAATTCACTGAATCTGAGAGACTTTGTAGAAAATATTAATTTTACTTAACTAAAAAAGCACGTCAATAGTACAAGGCCCCAGACAGATTAATCATTAGTTCAAATAAACATTACTATAAAGGATCTTAGATTATGACAATGACCTTTCAGAATTTTGGTAACTAGACTTAATTGAACAGCAAATCAAAAATCACATATTATGGGAAGGTAACAGTACAGATACCAAAAAAATAAACAATGAAAATCTCAATTTTTTTTTTTTTTTTTTGGTGGCACTTGGGTTTAAACTCAGGGTCTCACACTTGCTAGGCAAGCAGGCACTCTTACTGCTTGAGCCACCCATCAATCACATTGAAAAACTGTGATTTCGAATATGATTGACAAATCTCAATTTTTTCAGTATGATTACTGTAATAGAATACCAAATGTAGATTAAGTAAAATATCCAAAGGAACATGTACAAAGTAAAAGTCACAGAATCCAACATGCACATTATATAATGTGATATACTCATTTCTAAATTAGTACCAGAAAACAAAAAATAAATGTGCATATTGGGTATTTATAGGAAAAACTGGTGTAACTGAAAAAAAAAAAAAGATTACCTCTTACTAGCTTAAGGCATGTATTTTACATTTGAAGAAATTTAAATGAGTGAGTTTAAAGCAGTTTGGTAATACTCTGCAGTGCTACTTATTATAAAAAATATCAGTATGTTCAGGCAGGCAGTGCTACTTATTATAAAAAATATCAGTATGTTCAGGCAGGATACCACCATAAACTATCAATAGTATAGAAAATATATCAACCAACAGCTTTTAATGCCTCGGTCCATTATTTTCTATTTTGATATTATATGACAAGGGCAGACTGGGGATGTAGCTCAGTGGTAGAATTACATGCCTAGTTGTGGGTCTGATCCCTACCACCACCACCAAGATAAAATGGACTTATTCTTAGCAATTTTCAAGCACATTTACTCTCAAAGGACATTCAGCTATACCTGTAGTTTGTTACAAAAGGCCATTAAGCTAAATTAGCAAAAACAGCTAGTTAATATCCTTCCTCTAGTCAGAGAGCAATTATATAAACCATTATCTAGAAAAAGTCAACTGTAATCATAATTTACTAAGCTCAGCCATTGCTCAGTCTTGTGATAATGCTCACTGAAATACAAATATATCTCAATCCATTACCACACCACTAGACATGAGGCTGGAAGCTTCGTGCATCTCAATACATATTATATCAAGAAGATATGAAGCCAGCAGGTGACTAATACCTTCTGCAGGTGACTAATACCTTCTAAGAACACTTAGTAAATTCTTTTCTAACAAAGTATCAGTCATACCAACATTGAATAATATTTTCACATACCAAAAGATTCATCTTTCTTATCAAGGTGGAGGTGAGCTCTAACCTGCCCTGGTTCACAGCCATCGCAGGTGTCACTGCCAGGGTGAATGTGAAAGGACAACACAGTCTCTCCGATTTTCACTTCATCTCCATGCTCAAGTACGTAAGGATCACATTTAGTTTTTGGCTAGAGAAAAATTTCATGAAACAGAAATCCAGAACAGTCACCGTTCTGTAAGTAATGTTAAACAACTTATAATTCTTATCAGAACTCTTCCTTCCAGAAATGCTTAACTCTGGACTTCAACCTACTACCAACACACAAAGCCATCAGTCAGACAGATGAAGTGGTGGAGAAGAGCACAAGTATGTGAGCTATGGCTCTGTTTCCTCTTCTTCTGATAACTCATATTTATTTATGAAGGCTAAGAGTAAGACCACCCTTCGCCCATTCCACACTCTTATATATTTTCTAATTTCAATGCCAAGGACACTGCTATGTGCTAGGGAGATAAAAGATATAACATCTAGTTTCAACAAGTTTAAAGTCTAGCAATATTTCCACTAAGGAAGTTTAAAAATAAGGAGGAAAGCGCTGTGGGTGTGGCTCAGTGGTAAGGGGTTTGCTTAGCACATGAGAGGCCCTGAGTTTGATCCACAGCACCTAAAAGTTGATACAAAAATATTTACTCTAGCCAGGCATGGTGACTGACACCTACAATCCAGCTACTCAGGAAACAGAGATGTACAGAGTCACAGTTTGAGGTCAGCCCAGGCAAAAAATTAGTGAGAACCCATCTCAATGAATAAGCTGGGCATGGTGTAGTGTGCTTATGGTCCCAGCTGCATGGAAGGCCACAGGTAGGGGGAGAGCATCTGAGGCTGGTCCTGGGCAAAAACACAAGACCCTATCTGAAAAATAATTAAAGCAAAAATGAACTGAAGGCATGGCAATATTGCTAAGAAAAAAAAAATTTACTCTACGACAGGTGTACAGGCTCATGCCTGCAATCCATGCTACTCAGGAGGCAGAGATAGGAAAAAAAGAGTCTGTAGTTGGGGAGGAGGGGGGAGTAGTAAAAACCCATCTCAACAAACGGGCCAGGCATGGTTCTAAATGCCTGTAATCCTAGCTACATGGGAGGCATAGCTAGGAGGACTGCAGTCTGAGACTGGCCCCTAGGCAAAAAGCACAAAACTCTATATGAAAAATAACTAAAAGCAAAAAGAGCTGGAGGCATAGCCCAGGTGGTGAGGCTAAGAGTTCAATCCCAGTACCACCAAAACAACAACAACGACAAAGAATATTTATTATAACTAGCTTTACAGTATATTCATATCTAAAAGTATGATATAGACACATAATTAGAAGTCAACACTCAACAGCCAAGTGCACACTAATTATACACTTTTTCAGCCTGTTCTGGAAATTCCATGTAACACATTTGGGGCTTAAACTCTGTTCTGAACCAAATGGTATCTATAATGAGTATGACCCAATGGAATAAAAAAAATCTAGCTCAGGGGCTGGCTGAGTGGCTCAAGTGGTAGGGCACCTGCCTAGCAAGCATGAGGTCCTAAGTTCAAACCCCAGTATCACCAAAAATGAAGAATCTACAGAGGCTGAGTCTACAGCTCAGAGGCAGAACACGTCCCTAGAATGTTCAAGGCCCTGGATTCAACCTGCAGCACCTCAAAAAAATAAAATATGCAACAAATATCATTAAAAAAAAAAAAATCTAGCTCAATTGTTTTTTTTTTTTTTAAATGGTGGCACTGGGGTTTAAACTCAGGGTCACATGATTACTAGGCTCTACCACTTCAGTCAATCCACCAATCCAAAAATTCAGTTCAGTTTTAATAGTCACTTCAGTTTTAATAATAAAGTACAGGTAATTAATACATATGTACTCACCTGAATAATCTGTTTTCCATTAACAACTGTGCCATTTTGACTGCCTTGATCCACGAGGACATAGCTTTGTAAGTCATGGTCAAAATAAATTTCAGCATGAAACTTAAGAGAAAAGAAATCAAGCAATTACAAAGTATGATATATTTTTTTAAAACCTTAGGTAACAATGTCTCCATGGTACAATGATGTGACTTTAGTCTCTGATGATTTAACTTCAATTATTTTTTTAGTGGTACTGGGGTTTGAATTCAGGGCCTCCTGCTTGCTAGGCAGGTGCTCTACTACTTGAGCTAAATCTACAGCCCTTTTTGCTTTAGGTATTTGTCTAATAGGGTCTCACTTTTATTCCCCAGCTGGCCCAGACTGCGATCTTCCTATTTATGCTTCCTGTGTAGCTAGGATGACAATCACACACATGGTTTCATTGGTTAAGATCGGGGTTTCACAAACTTTTTGCCCCAGCTGGCCTCAAATCTTGATCTACCAAATCTCCATCTCTGGAGTAGCTAGGATTACAAGTGTGAGCCACCATGTCTGGCTTAACTTCTATTATTTTTTTTATTTTTTATTTTTGCTGGCACTGGGGTTTACTCAAGGGCCTCACACTTGCTAGGCAAGCACTCTTACCACTTGGGCCACTCCACCGGCAACTTCCATTATTTTTAATACTCTGTTCTGAATATAAATTATTTCATACTTCTGGTAGAAATATGGCGGCAATAGAAAGAAACGTCATTTATATTATAACTATACCTTTAACTTCCGTTATTAATTTATTATGCATCCTGCCTTTTCTATTTTTTAAATCTAATTGATACCGTATACACAATTGCATTCTTTCCATCTAGTAAGTACTTGTCTGTATCACTGACATTTTTTATAATATTGAGGACTGAACCCAGAGCCTTGAGTCATACTCCCAGCCCTACTGTTTTTTGCTTTTTCTACATCAGATCTCATCAACTTTTCCCGGTGGGGATCGAATTCACAATCCTCTTGCCTCCACCTCCCAAGTAGCTGGAATTACAGAAGTATGCTAACACACTTGGCTCATTAAAAACTCTTAATACAGCCATACCTGTAATCCTAGCTACTTAGGAGCAGAGACTGGAAGGATCACAGTTCAAGGCCAGCCCAGGCAAAAAGTTTGCAAGACCTTAACCACGGACATGGTGGAGTGCTTCTGTTATCCCAGGTACACAGGCAGCATAAATTAGGAGAATCGCAGTACAGGCTGACCCAGGTATAAAGCAAGACCCTATGTGAAAAACACCTAAAGCAAAAAGAGCTTGGGTGTGGGGAGGGTTTTGATTCAAGTGGTAGAGGACCTGCCTAGCAAATGGGAGGCCCTGTAAAAAAGTACTGTCAAATTTTTGAAATGAACTAGTTGTGATTTTAATTTGCATTTTCTGATTACCACCAAAAACCTTGTATTTATCAGCCATTTGGGGGTCTTTCTCTATAATGTTTTTAATTGTCTTTGTATTATTTTTCCAATTAAGTTATCTGGACTAATAACTATATCAAGTCTTTTACACTGCCAAATCCTACTCCAAGAAGCTGTTCTAAATTATGCTCCCAACAGGAGTGATATTTAATAAATACACTGAATGAAAACTGACATGTTGGCTTCATCTGTATTTCTTAGATTAGCTTTTCATGTATGAATTGTGTTATTTCCTCTACTATGAATTGCTTTTTTATATCCTTTGCTCACTTACCTACTGGTGTCACAGTGGGGTTTGAGAAAATAAATCTGTTATATGTTGTGGCTGTCCTTCTCTGCCTTTTAAATTTGCTTCTAACATATAAGAGCTTCACACTTGGTCAAAATTATCTTATCTTTTATGACTTTTTACCATATTTTAAACTCAGTCTTCCATTCAGAGTTTAAATATTTGAATATTTAGTTCCTGTTCTTCCCCTGACATTAATATAACTTTTTTAATTTAGTATTTTTCATCTACCTGAATACGTTCTATATACTACCAAGCTGATTTTTCCAACAAATTATTTACCCCATCAATGGGTATTAGTCAGAAAGAAAGAAGAAAAACAAAAACAAAAACAAAAAAATCACCCAAAAATGCCACCAATGAACTACATTTTAGATTAGATGCAAAGAACTCCTATGCTACTTAAGTTACAGACTGAGTTTCTTTGGAGGCAAGAGAATCAAGGGTCCTATTAAAGTAAAAAAGACAGACAATTTGGTTAGAGTTAAGATTATAAGGATTTCCCTCCACCTTTGAATGAGTCCCCAAAAAGTGAAGCTAATTAGATTTTCAAACTAATGATGGGAAACTATCTGAATAGACAAAAACCACATAAAACCTATTTTTGGTTCATCTTACATTCTATTGAATAAAAACAAAATGGGTACTGGTTGTATAGTTCAATAGTAGAATGCTGCCTAGTATATACAAAACCCTGGATTTAATTCCCATCACTGAAGAAAAAAAAAAAAAAGGAAAGATAACAGTAAGAAGGGAGAAGAAGAGAAATGACAGGAAAAAAGTAAAATAAAAAACAGAGAAATATGAGGTATAAAGCATTTCAGTGGGCTGGAAGTGTGGCTCAAGTAATAGAGCACCTGCTTTATGATCTTGAAGCCCTGAGTTTAAACCCTAGTCCCACGGAAAAAAAAAAAAAAAAAAAAAAAAAAGAGCCCCAGCAGCTAAATCTTTTGGTTTTAAGTTGCAATACTGGTTTTGGTTTTCCCTGAAGCCACTGGAATCTTAATTGAGAGAGCTGGAAAGAGAGCCTCCACTCAGGCAGTAGACAACAGATTCATAGATTCTAAAACACTTTGGGCTCAAAATAACTGCCTACTAAAGAAACCTGAATCCAGGTGTGATTTATTTTTGAAATGCCATAGATGTAGCATACATACTTAATAAATGTATTAAACAGGTACCACTTTAATACTTAGATTGAATAAATCCCTATCTTCTATTGACACTTCAGGCTTTCAAAAAATGAACAATTAGGGCTGGGAACATGGCTAAGTAGTAAAGTAGCTACCTGGCAAATGCAAGGCCCTGAGTTCAAACCCAAAATACCACAAAACAAACAAAGAGCAGTAACACAATTAGCCAAGCATGGTGACCTGCTTGCTGAGGCAAGAGGATCAGTTGAGCCCAAAAGTTCCATATTGCATGAGCAATATAGGGAGACCCCACTTCAGAAAATAATAAAAACCCCACAATTTAGTTTATTCAAATTGTGATAAAGAATTTCATTTTCTCAAGCACTGGATTAAACAAATCTGTTCTGCCTTCATCACCATTACTACAATAAATATTAGCATTTTCATTAAAACCTTAACAGGTTTTCTACTGTTATAACTTTTTATTTTTTTATTTTTGTTTTTTTGAGACAAGGTCTTACTATATAGCCCAGGCTGGCCTGGAAATTATTACACAATCCAGATGGGCTTCGAACTATGCCCAGGTTTTATTTTTTTCTTTTTATGGAATGATTGTTTCTGCCCCAGGGAGATATTCTTAGGAAATCAAAGGTCTTACCTTACTGACACCAACTTCAGGGATTCGGAGAGTATGCTCCATATCTTTTTCTCTGTAGAGTTAAGTAAAATATCTTTAATAATTTTTGAAATATATATAAAACAGTATTTAAAGAGACATGGTAAAAAAAACTTTTTTTCGTTTATTCGTATGTGCATACAATGTTTGGGCCATTTCTACCCCCTACTCCTCACCCCTTCCCTCTCTCCCGCACCCTCTCACTTCCAGGCAGAAAGTGTTCTGCCCTTATCTCTAATTTTTGATGAAATTTTTTTTTAATGGATGCTAAAGTGCAAATCTGACAAACGTCCTAATTGCTACTGTAGATTTCTTAGGCTTTCGCATAGTAATTATTTGTTTACATCTATTTTCTTCAAACTGGATTTGACTTTTTTGCCCTAATTCTCTTTGCAATCATAACATATAAAACAATATTCTACAAAGCTTTTCAGAAATTAATGAAAGAATCATATAATAATATTAGCCATTTTTACCTTCCAATTGTAGCAGGGCTTACAGCTGTAATGATAAAAAGTGATCCTATCTGCAACACTGGTGATCTAATAACAATTACTCTTATACACGGGGGCCAAATTTTTTCTTCATCTACCAAGAAAAGAAGTAAATAAACATAAATTCAAATTCTAAGAAAAAATTTTTTCGCATGGATAACTAGGAGGCACCCATAAAATAAAAGTGCCTTGGTCAGGGCTGGAAATGCAGCTACTGTAGAACACTAGCCTAATACATGAGAGAGCCTAGGTTTAAGTCATAGCACCACAAAAATTATCTTAATTTTGACTAAAACAAACTTCTTAAACTCTATGTCATACATAGAAATGAGTAAAGATTAATAGCACTATTAAAGTAACCAAAGGTATGCAACACAGTTAGCATCTATCACAATAATTTAAAAAATCAATCTTAAGATATTAGAATTTGAAAATTTCCCAAATATTTTTAAATTATTTTAAGCCAGAAAAATTTTTTTAAAAATGAGAAATCCTATGCTTCAAGAACAAAAGAACAAAACTAATGCGATTACTGTAATATGGCATTCTGTGTTTTTGTCTGTCTTCAAGTAAAAAATGTTACATTCACCCTAACACTTATGCAACTGAATTCATGAGCTATGCTTTTTAAAGGCAACTTACTTTTTCTTATTTAATTGCAAAGGCAGACTACAAACACCTAATCCACTCAAATATAGATAGCCATAATATAGACTTAGAATTTTGGAAGCTTGATTTTATCTTCTGCTGAAACTATTCAATACAATGACACTTTCTTAAGGTTCAGGTATTAATAGTTTTTTTTCACATCCTACCTTCTAAAAATTACCAAGTGGTAGCTCACATAATTATGAATAATATCAAAATAATTAGTACATTTTTTGGCAGATAATGTGTGCGTGATTAATATCTTTGACAAATGTGGGACTAGCTTATTTATTTGAAATTAAGTAACAGTTATTAACTCACCTTCATCCTCCATTTCCTCTGCAGTGACACTGTCTTCGCTAGTAATATCTCCGTCGTAACTATCCTCACTTTGAGAGTCTGTAATTTCACCTTCTTCTGGCTCACTGTCACTATCTCTGATATTCTCATCTTTAAACGAAGTTGAATTAGAGATCTTCTCATCAAGAGAAGATTTTATAGTGTTTCCACTAACTGGAAAGGTGGATTTAGGGGTACTATTTTTGTGATGAATGTTTATTTTGGCCTTCTTTTTCACATTTGCAAAATTTTCTGCCTCTCTGCAGTTTATATATTCACCACTGGAAGCTTTTTGATCTTCCGAAATCAAATCCTGGAAAGAGGTAGGTAGGTACTTAGGTGACAACAGGGGAGAACAATTTAAAACATTATTATCTTATATCATATACAAAGTTTCAATGAATTAGTGAAGATGTATGTACAATGAAAAATAATAGTAATACCCACTTTCCCTCTCAGTTCCCTTAATGACGCTATCATTCTCTTGTCTTCCAAATTAAGAATGCTACAGTTATTGTCAACACCCTCTTAACCACCACTTGGAATCAATAACCAAGTGCTACATTACACTTACAGTGATAGTCTAAGCCTGACCCTTTATCTGTGCTCAGTGTCCTAATTAATATTCCTAGTCTAGGCCTTCATCCTGTATTACTTGGCCCATGTTGATAGTCTAAATTTTTTTTGAACTTTTAGCCAGTTAGCAAGTCAATACACACAAAATGTAGCTTGAAAATTTCTACTTACAACATGAATTTAAAGATCCAACCATACCTAATATGGCAAAACTGTAATTTTGCTAAAATTTAGTACTTTACAGTTGGCTTGACAATACACAAAAGATTTAAATACTTCTATCTCCCTTATTCCAAAATTTAAACTAAGCTAGCGTAAGTCTTTTATTATTAATTTGCTGAATAAGAATAAGTTGGCATTTCTTATGACAAATGAGCAAATCTATTATATTTTAATTACCAAAAAGTATGTATTTTCATTATGTACAATTTTTGGGGGGTGATAATGGGGTATGAACTTAGAGGCTCCTACTTGCTACCAATTAAGCCACGCCCCCAGCCCTTTTCATCTTTAGCTATTTTTCAGATAGGATCTCGAGTTTTTGCCTAGGCCAGCTTCATACTACGATCCTTCTACCTATACCTCCTGCCACCATGCCAGGTTTATTCACTGAGATGGGAATTTCGCTGACTCTTCGCCTGGGCTGGCCTTAACCCATGCTCCTCCCAATCTGCGCCTTCCGATGGTTGGTATTATAGATGTGAGCCACCACATCCAGCCCAACATATTTTGAAATACGTCATATACTGAAAGACTACATCAACCTAATTAGCATGGGCACTATACATTTTTTGTGGAGAGAATACTTAAAATTTACTGGTATAATGGCTTTCAGGAATATAATACATTGTCTGGAGATATAGCTCAGCAGTAGAATGCTTGCCTAGCATATATAAGGCCCTGGGTCCCATCCTCAGCACAACAAGAGAAAAAAAGCATTATTACTAACTATAAAAATCACCAGGTTACAGAATAAACAAATGCATTATTCAACATTGGAATAAGCAAAGAATCACTTTTCTTTTCTTCCTATGATATGTAACACACTGTCAATTTTCTACGTACTTTAGCACATGATAAAGTGAATTCATACACTCTTGTTATTTTATAAAAAATGAGAGCATCTTATACACATATTTTTAATAGCAACATAATTCAGTTTGGAGACTGGCTAACCACTCAGTGTAATAAACTGTACACACTCTCAGCAATACACACTCACCAAGGACAAGAGCAAGGGCAAGGAGCTTTATAAATCATGTAAATTATAGCAAAAAAGTCTGTTTATCTATCTATCTATATACACTTTTAAAAAAGCAGTTTCTAATCTTATATTTTTTCTTATTGCTATTACTTACTGGACACAGGGAAAACAAATGAAACTGCCAGAGGTGCTAATTTTATAACGTATTTCCTGGTATGCAATGTCAGATAGTCATTAAAAGATAAGAAAGGGATTCTGTGAGATGCACGTGTACACATGCACACACACACTGCCTTTTCATTCCCATCTCCTCACCCTACTGCTTTCCTTCCACATATTCTCACCTGAAAAAGTAGATGCAAGAAGTATCAAAAACTAAAGAAATTAGGATGTTTTAACAGGTCTCTCATAGCATCACAGCTACCTTTTAGAATCCTCAGGGAATTCTCAAAATTCCATCAAGATTTTCTCTAAGTTCCATAAGTATTCATGTGTCTCTGAAGAGTAGTAAAGAGGAACAGCTATAGGCGCCAGGCTAGGCTACAATGGTACAGCATGTTTTCTACCTCAGTCTCTAGTTTGTCAGGAAAGGCCACTGAGGATCCCTATACTCTCTTCTCATTGCTAGTGAGAGGTGCTTTCACAGTCTAGCCTTTCAGACAGTTCAACCTCTAGTAACAGGCATGAGTCAAATGTTTTATTCAATAATGGAATAAGCAAAGAATCATTTTCTTTTCTTACTATGGTATGTAACACACTGATCCTGAAAGCAAACAGAAAAACTTTTTTTAGTAGTTTAGTCATATACTCTTCTATTCCTAGGTACTGTCAGTGAGAAACAGAAAAATAAAAGCACCCCATATACAGAATAGAAAGTAAGTCCAGTACAATCCTAATTCCGTATATGAACTTTAGAATTTAGTATTATTTTAGGTAAATGTTCTCTGTAAGATTTTCAGAGTGAAGTATCAAATAATCACTAAAGTTCATAAAATCGACAATATAATACAAAAGCTACCAATCCTACCCTTAAACCACTAAATTTATTTAGATAGTAGAAATAACAGCACTAATAGCACATTTTAATTAATACTGTATCATAAGTGTTTTTATTTATTTCTTTTTATTGTTTTATTATTCATATATGCATACAATACTTGGGTCATTTCTCCCCCTGCCCCCACCCTCATAAGTGTTTTTAAAATTCTCCTCAGTCTTGGGTTGGCAGAGTGGCTCAAGTGGTAGAGCACCAGCCTAGCAAGCACAGGGCCCTGAGTTCAAATCCCAGTACCACCAAAAAACAGTCCATGTTTGTGTCACCTGAACTCTTCTTGGTTGTTGGATTCCTATACCTTAGTGGATATATTTGAAATTCAGAGTTATGGAATGATTTTCAGTTCTATGAAAAATTTTGGCTTAATTATGTTATCAAAATTATGTAAATTTTAACAATTAGGAAGACATTACCTTTTCCTCATTTGTCGTAGAACAATCTGGATCCTTCCTTTTCTTTTTCAATTTTTTATCTTTACTTTGTTTTGTGCTAGAAGTCTGATAAGGCTGCAAATCTACTCGAGAATGAAATTGGTATCGGCCACTTTCCACATCACAGTAGTAATAAATCCCAGTGGAAGGATCATAATATAGCTGATTTTCCTTTCAAGAAAAATAATAAACTTAACAGAAGTCAAGAAAATACTAAACTTAACAGAAATGCTGAATAATATTCAAATATAATAAGTTTTTTATAGTAATTTTTTCAGAAAATTAAAGATAACAGAATGAAAAATATTTGTAATTTTCTAAACTGTTTTACCATTTAATATCTGCTCTAAATTTCCTAGTGTGAAAATATATCTAAACATTAAATTGAATCACATGAAATTGCTAGCCTTTGATGATTTTTTTTAACTTTATAAGAAACAGCAATTTCGTATGATTCAACTTAACACATTAGCAAAAAAATGTTAACAGGAAACTTCTTTAAAGGCATGAAAATGAAAACTAACACATGCCCTGAAAAAACTACATAGTAAGCAATTCCAGATTACTCTTCCTTACTGACTACACAAAAATAGTATTATAAACTCCAAAATGATACTACAAGCTTCCAAACCTTCCTTTCAATGTATATTACTTAAAGTAACTGAAGAAATTTGAGAAAATTAAGCTTATTAATGCCACAATATGACATTCAACATAAAGACAGTGACAAACTACCTTTACTAATTAATTTTTTTTCCTTTTTGTTTTTTGGCAGTGCGGGGGATTCAACCCAGGGCCTAAGTAAGTGTGTCACCAGTGAGCTGTACCGCCAGCCAACTAATTAATTCTCCAGTAAGATAAGTAAGACTTGTAAGTAGAGAAGCCATGCACAAATGAATTTTGGCAGATTATGGATTAAAAACCAGAAAGATAAAGTATGTAATCACCTGCATTTATTAGATACTGGTCAGTACTCCATAACCAAGATTTAATTGAACATTCTATATTTTATTTACATCATAAATCCATGCAGGCCACACTTGGAAACATCTTATGGTGTACTGAGATTGAGCAACTAAAACTTCCTGAAAAAGAATAGTTTATTTTTCTATCGATGATATTACTGCAATTTATCATCTCTAATCCATGCATTTTAAAGATTTGTTACAAAAATATTTAGAGTTCTAACCATCTTTCCCTTAACTGAGAAACTGAATGGACCTTTCTAATCTTTATTTCTAGTTCATAGAACTTTTATAACTTTTAAAATCTGCTAGCTCTGTCAGCTCAATATATAAGCATTCTTAAAATATGAGAAAAACGGTGTCTAATTAAAATAAAAACTGAAAGTGACAAAACAATAAAGTCCCTAATCTACGCAGAACTATAACTTCCAAAATGTAACTATTTATAGAATTAGATGTCAGGAGGAAAGATACAGAAAGAATGACAAAGAATAATGTCAACTTGGAAACTGTGTTTTCCTGTAAATCAAGTAATAGCTTTTGGTTAGTTTCTATTAGTGTCATCAATAAACATACTTCCATGGGAGAAAAATCTCTTCACCAAAGACTTAAAAAGTTCATCATGACAGATGGACAAACTAGTGAAACATCTCATCTTAACTAAGTTGTTTATATTATTATCATGTTCCCTGGATTAATTACCAGTGTTATAATAACTGGCACAATGAACACCTGGGCCACATTCAGTAACTCCTCAGAGCACAGGTCACATTACTGGATCCTCAAGACTGAGGTACATGTATAAGTTCCATCATTTCTGACAAGGAATCCTGAATGAAATCTAATCAAATATTAGACTTCAACAGCCATAGTATTACAAGTCAAGACCTTTATTTTCTGCTTCTGTTCTAGTCAGTAGTCCATTACATTTCTGATTCCACTTTAATTCCCCAGTTCTCCCTGTTAACAGATTTTGTTCTTATTTATTCTTTCCAGTGCCAGTGATCAAACCCTTGTTCTGTACACGCCAGGCAACTGCTTTATGACTGAACTGCATCTATATTCTCAGCCCAAGACTGACTCCTTAGAAGTGAAATGTCTAAAAGCCACAAAGCATAAAACACCAATTAATAATAAACACACTACTGAGAGTTTATGAAATCTCCCTAGCTGGGCATGGAAGCATACACCTAGAGTCCCAACTACTTGGGAGGCTGTGGTAGGAGGGCTGCTTGAGCCCAAGAGTTTGAGGCCAGGCTAGATAGCCAAGAGACAGCCTATCTCAAAAGAAATTATCTAAGAAAAAAGGAAAAAAAAACAAAGGAAGAAATGTCTTTTCCTGTGGCCTAGAGTGAGTTGATAAAAATAAGTACTAAAACAATTTTAAAAAATCTTAACCCTAAGTCTAAAATTCTCACTTCCTTATAAATTCCATGATAAAATATTAGATGAGGACCTTTAACATTTTACAATACAGTTAATAATCTGCTTTTATTAACAAAACATCTATCATTTTAGTTTATTTTATATGCAAATGGTTACTGAACCTCCCTAAAACATTAATCTATAGCAATTACAATTAACAACTTACGTAGTAATTAAAAACTTGGAAGTGTAGCATCATAAGCTATTTTATAACTCTTTTGTCAAATACCATTGAGTCTATCATAATCTTTAAATGCCACTTTTTGCTTTCCTTACTTTAGCTTAGGATTTAGTATTTGCACTCAGGTTGCTAAATATACAACCACACAGTATTAAAAAGGTCTGAAATACTTACAGAATCATAATAGAAACCAGTGCTGTGGTCAAAATATAGTCCAGTATTTTCATCGTAAGTAAAACCAGTCTGTGACACAGCAGCTTCTGCTGCAGCTCTCAAACTTTCAGCTAATGATGATCCTTCTAAGGATGCACCTTCTGTTGCTAGTGCAGATGCTGGCTCCTAGAGAAGACATAGTCATGCCAAATGAATCAAAACATCTGTATATCAAGTTAAGTTAGAATTTGAAATAATAAATAGACCTAAAGCTACATTTAACTAATGACTTCAATTTTTTCAATGGAAAGATATATCTATCAATTAAAATTTGAGTCACTTTAAAAAAATATTTACTAGTATGTTCTTTAATTCGACTGACAGATTTTTTGTTTTCTGCCTTCAGTGCTGAGAATTGAATAGAAAGCAAGTACTCTGTCACTGAGCTGTATCCCTAACCCTTTGACCCAGTTTTAAAGACATTAAAGTTAAGGAGTAACAATTATTCAAATATAAATGCTTGATACCATAAGGAAGCAATCCATAAAACATAGAATATGATATATTCTATAAAAACGATCTAGACTGTTCAATAATTAACAAAAGTATTTTTTAAAAAGAGATAGATAAAATGAGTATATCACTCACAAGACCATGATTCAAACAAATCATAAAACTCAATGTATAAAACATTAAGGAAAATTTGAACAATGACAGGACATGACATAAAGGGAGTATTAAAAAATTAGGGGAGGGAGGCTGGGTATGTAGCTCTGTGGTAGAGTGTTTGCCTAAGGTGGGAGGATAGGTTGAGCCTAAGATTTGAAGCCAGCCTATATGACATGGTGAGACCCCCATCTCAAAAAGCAGTTACCTTAGGTATAAATGTGTTGGACTGCCCAAAGTTCTTTAGTTGAGTCAAAATATACTGACAAATTTTTAGTTTACATAATTAAAAACAGGAAAACAGCTATGCAAATAAGTTGTAATTTTTGTTTTTTAAAAACAATAGCTGGGTGTGGTGGTACACACCTATTGTCCCAGCTACTCAGGAAGTTGAGGCAAGAGAATCACTTGGAATGCTTATAAGCCTTTTATGTGTTGTGATGGATCAAGGAATTCTACCTAATGACAAAGAAGTTGTCAGGCATCAACAGTTTCAAGTTTACCACTTTATTACCTGTGAATCAGAGGTGAAATGATCTGCTTGTCCACACTTAACATATTCTGTCAAATCAGTACCAGTGTAGGTATCGTTTTCTGTTTGTGACTGATCTTTAGAATTAAAAGTAGAAGCTTCAATATACTGACATTGCTGGTCAGAGAGTTCAGTCACTTTATTTGGAAGACTATCATCATTATAGTATGTCTGATAATAATAATCTGTAGCAAAAACAAATTAGTGATATATTAGAAAACCGTGTGTAAAACAGGCTTAATTCTAAATCAGTGGTGCTGAGAATGAAACAGCATACACTGAAAATAGATCATTATTTTTACAACTGTATATGTTTTAAAAGATTAAAGCTAATGGTGCAGATAAATCTGCAAAGTTTGTATACTTCAGTGCCTCAGTTACAAGCTAAAAAAGGTAAGCAAATTTATACTTTCCACAGCAAAGGAAAATTGGTAGTTTTCTGTTAAAAAAAAAAAAACCAAAAAACAAAAAAAACAAAACTTAGCAACTCTTAACTTCTAACCACATGCCTTAAAATTGTAGCTTATCAATTGACAGTAAAATAAAGATAAGCTATTGGGGCTTGATTTTGCCATCAAACTTCTCTCACGATGTTGTTCTCTTAAAACACTATTATATAGATATGTGAGATTAGTACTATTGCTACATTAGTAATTTAGGTGAAGTATGTACAGAATGAAACAAAGTGAAACTTACAGGAAAGAGTGTGTCTTCTTATAATTTCCATTTATTAAAGCTCAGTGGCTTAGTTATTTTGCCTTACAACATAATACCACTGCAGAGGCCACAGTGGTAGGCCCACCATTACCACAAAGACCTAAGAGACTGGCACTACAACCAAAGCAAAGTGGAACACGCCAGCAAGAAAGCAAGTGGCCCTGGTCACAAGAAAAGCCAGACATAAAAGGAAAGGGCTTACTGAACGGCAAAAACTACTCAGTGAGTTGGGTATGGCAATATACAACTATAGTCCCAGCTCTTGGAGGCTGAAGTGGGAAGATTACTAGAGTGCATGACTTCAAGACCAGCCTGAGGCACATAGAGCAACCCATCTCAAAAAACAAAAAAGAATCAGTGAGTGCACCATTGAAACACATTAGCAACATTATATCAATCACAGGAATTATAGTACATTTCTATTTTTTTCTATCAAAAGAGCAAACTGATTACCTGAAAATACCCAAATTTATGAAGAGAAGTCACCATTATAACAGTCCTCATATTTATGTAGAAATTTGTCTATTTTAAATTCACAGAAAACACTGAATTAGCATAATATGAATACCTGAAATTGACCAAGGAGGTAGGTTCTCTGTTTGTACTTCTACATCAGACTTTTTATTATCTTCATTTCTCTCACAATGGAGTATTTTACTGAGTTCTTCCACCTGGAAGAAAACAAGGCTTTAGGAAAAATAAATCATAAAACAATTGAATGCTACACAGTACATATACCATTCTCATAATATATAATAAGAAATTAATTTTCTTGGCAAAAGTTTTAGGTATGTGTCAAGAGCAGCTAGCTTCTTTCCAAAAAAAACTAACAATACTTACAACTCTTGTAGTCAATTTTTAGGAAAACAAATTTTTTTTTTTTTGATATGGGGTCTAATGTTGCCCAGGCTCTTCTCAAACTCTTGGGTACAAGTGATCCTCAGCTTCCTGAGAAGCTAAAACTACATGTGTGTGCCACTGTGCCCAGCTCAGAGATGCTTTTAATCCTTCTTGCTAAACAACAAATTATCTCCTCCAGAAATCAGACTAAGGTAATGGAATGTCGTGAACAGAATCATTTCTAACAAACAGAAATGTTCTGGGCTAGGAGTGCAACTCAGTGGTAGAGCACCTGCCTAGGAGGCAAGAGGCCTTGAGTTCCATTGCCAGCACAGACCTTAGCACCCCCCCTCCAACCCAAAAAAGAATGCTATTAGGCTAATATTTTAAAGGGTCAGCAGTTCTCTCTAAAGATGTAGAAAATTTAAAAACTATAAATTTCTATCCACAGTAATTATCTATCAGTGTTCTTCCACCTGAATTAACTATTCGCTAAATATACTAATGCCAATTTTTTTCTTTTGTTTTGATTTTGGTGCTGGGGATGGAATTCTCTGAGCTTCAAGAATACCAGGTAAGCATCCTACCAACTAAGCTACATCCCCAGCCCTATGAATGTTATTTACATGCTAATGCATTTTTTTTTCGTTAGCCTTATGACTAAATATCTGCAGTGGAAAGGAACTGAGAAAGTGACTGTCTGAGAAGGGCATCTATACTCCATGTGCCTCACACACTGAAATGCCCTTGAAAGAATGCTGCACAGGCTAGAACAACAGTGTAGACACACTGCCTCACTTCACTCACCTCAGTGTGACAGGATCTCAATGTGAGACAATGCACTACATGCATGATACCAACTAAAAAGCAAGATTCTAAATATTTCTTTAGCAGTAGAAACATAAGCTTAAATACAGGTAAAAATGATTACATACACATTATCTAGGCACTTTATCAATTCTTTTAGAATCTCTAAGGCAAGCAGCACTTTAACAATTTATAATTATAAAATGGTTTAAGGAGGTCATTTTCTTCCTTTCTCCTATTTTTATATTTGTATTCTCCTAGCAAAATTCCTATACTTAATAGGTATTCAAGAACCAGCTGTTCAGCAAACAATAAAGTCTTTCTATAATGTCAACAACTCTACACAATGGGTATAGAAGTCATTTCAACTCAGCAGTTACTTTCATAGCTCAATTAGGAATAGCATGATAAAGTCTGGTGATGTGTTAGTGTCCATTCTGTAGACATAGTTTTAGAAAAGGTACCAATAAATTATGAAGAACTAGAAAACAGAATGAAATTAGTATCTGGAAATAACTGACCAGGAGAGTGCTACTGCTCAAGCAAGCAAGCTAGAAAAAAAGTATTGTGCTGGCTTTTAAAGTGCAATTTTAAGTATCTGTTCTTACTCCATCTTATGAAAACGAATAAGCTGTTAAGATTCCTAAACAAAGACAGTTTTACCTCCCTACTTTAACAAAAGAACCCAAAAGGTCCATGCCCAGAATAGTAACCTTACACAATGGATGGCGATCAAGGTTTTGTAAAATCACAAAACAGCTGGCTCTCGCTTCCTTTTACTCTAACCTCCACAGCTGTGCGCTACCATCCTTCAGACTGCATAGGCAACTGAGGCTCAGTATAAATTTACACCGCTAGTGAGTGGCAGGCATGGGATTCCGATTCAAGTTCAGCCCTTTAACCAATCAAACGTGATGCAGACTCTAGAAACGTTACAAACGGGGTGGTGGGACAAGTGAGGATGAAGACCACGCATCCCGTCGGCGCCAGGCGTGCACGGTTCTGGGTCTACGCGGGCCGGGCGGGGCGCGCACCTGCGTGCGGAGCTCCTGGTTGCTGCTCTCCGCGCTCTGGTACAGCCGCTCCGTGTGGTGCAGCAGCTTCTCGATCTCCTGCACCTGCCGCTTGCAGCTCCGCAGCTCGCGTTCCAGCTTCTCCACCTTCCGCCTCAGCTGGGCCAGTTCGGGCTCGGGGGAGGTGGGCGGCGACAGAGACAACGAGGGCGACGGCGGCGGGGACGCGGCCTCGGAGGCCATGAGGTCCGGCGCGAGGCGGCCCGCGGGCGCCGAGTGGCTGTGCCTAGACCGAGACGGGCGCCGGCGGGCCCAGAGGCCACGGGAGCGCGCCGGCTGCGAAAGGCGGCCTCACACCCGGAAGGCCGCGGTGGGCCCTGGCCATGACGTCCAGAAACTCGTCGCCTGTAGCGGAACGGGGCTGTGGGCCACAAGCCAAGGGCCCAAGGACGACCCCCGCCGTCTGCTCCGCCCCGAAACCGCTGCACTTTAGAGGCGACGACAACGAAGGGAGCTTTGAAGAAGTAGCCAAGCCAGAGAGCCAGAAGGCAGAACTTGGACCGTTCCTGGGCTGAACCGGAAGCGTTTTGCCGGTGGTGGGCGGGGCCAAGACAGCTTTAGCCAACCACGGGAAGCATCCAGTACTACGCATGCGCACTTCCGCCTGCTAGGGGCGGGGCGGTACTTGGGCGGTAGTGTTGGAAGACCATTGTATGTGTGGTCTCTGTCTGGCCAACTTTTTTTGAGAAAACGTTTTGCGTATAGTGCAGTTCCTAGCTTCTTAGCTTCCAGATGAGAACACTGAGTCTCCCAGAAATGAATTGCCAGGGTTTATAGAGATAATGATAAATCAAGACTGGAATTTAGTGCTCTGCTACCGTTTAGTCATCTGCTGATTCCATCAGTTTAAATTACCACCCCGTACCCCCTGGAAAAAAGACAGCAAGTTCGTTAGGTTTTGAGTTGCAAGAAGAAACATCCAGGATGGGAAAGTAACAGGCAATATCTTGTGGAACTGGAGAGAAAAACGCTCTGGTTTGGTGGATTTATTTGGTCTTTGTACTGCATGAACCCCTTTAGCATTGATTCACCAGCCTTTAAACCTAGGATGGTTTCTTTGCACATAATTCCTCCCCTCCCCAAGGGCAACTGCAATTAGGTGCTGAACTCAGAATGCTAGGCCTGAGATTCGAAAAGATCATCAGTGATCATCAGTCATCATCAACATGTCATAGTGGTTCTCCTCCCACAGGGCCCAGCCTATTGCCTGTTACAACAGGTCCGGTGAGTGGTTGCTGAACACAACTAAACCTGAGAATTCTGCGTAGTGTCCTACAGTGGCTTCTATTAACTGTATTTTCTTATTTTCTGTATTCTTGATGCTCTGACATCTGAGGCCTCCTTGACCAGGGAGGGACCACCTCTCCAAGGGTTAGCTAATTCTAGAGATATCAACTCACCTCAGACCACATCTTTCACATGCAAACTAAGCAACTCAGAGCCAACCCTCTACATCTCTTTTTTCAGGCTGTTACACTCTAACCAATGTTCCCCTGCCTAATCAAACTAAGTGCCAAACAACCTCTACACCTCAGAACCCCCTGGAATCATTCAAATTATTCAACCCTTTTTTTCCATAGAAACCAAACTAAAATTGCTGGCCACAATTCCTACTCCTGCCTTGGTGCCTTTCCATAGGTTTCTGTGTAGTACGGTGTTTCCTCTTCATAGGCTCTGTGAGTAATAAGTTATCTGTTCCATGAAAATCATCTGTCCTCACCGTACCTTTAAAAACTCTGCTTTTCTACAGGTTCTCTAAGTAAAGAGGAAGGGAAAAAGGCATGTTTTCAGAGCCAAGAGGTTATTTGTAGAGTGGTCAGGATCCATGCCACAGAGAAGCACGTTGCTTGACACCTTTCAAGATCTGATTTTCTGAGCAGGAAATACACTGGAAGCAATAGGTATAGTCAAGGACTTCCTCAGAAGAACTCAAGTGGCCCAGCAACTAAGAGAAAGGATGGACAAATGGGGCTACATAAAATTAAAAAGCTTCTGCACAACGAGAGAAATGGTCTCTAAATTAAGAGACCCCCCCCCACACACACACACAGAGTAGTAGAAAATATTTGCTAGCTATACATCAGACAAGGGACTGCTAATGAGAACATATGGGGAGCTCAAAAAACTAAACTTCCCAAAAATCAATGAACAAATGAAGAAATGGGCAACTGAACTAAACAGAACTTTTTCAAAAGAAGTAGTCCAAATGGCTAAAAAACTCATGAAAAAATGCTCACCATCCCTGGCCATAAAAGAAATGCAAATTGAAAACACACTAAGATTCTATCTCACTCCTGTGAGCATTGCTACCATCAAGAACACCACCAACAACAAATGTTGGCAAGGATGCAGGGAAAAAAGGACCTCTCATACACTGCTGGTGGGAATGTAAGCTAGTATAATCACTATAGAAAACAATATGGAGCCTTCTTAAAAATCTAAATATAGATCTGCCTTATGATCCAGCAATACCACTCCTAGGGATGTACCTGAAGGAATGTGACTCAGGTTATTACAAAGGCACCTGCATGCCCATGTTTATTGCAGCATTGTTTATTGCAGCATTATTCATAATAGCCAAACTATAGAAACAACCAAGATGCCCTACTACCAATGAACAGATTAAGAAAATGTGGTATTTATACACAATGGAATTTTATTCAGCCACAAAGAAGAATTAAATTTTGTCATTCACAAGTAAATGGATGGAACTGGAGAACATCATTTTAAGCAACGTTAGGGTCAGAAGGCCAAAAATCACGTTTTCCCTCATGTGGATTATAGACCTAACACAAATCCAGTAATATTATTGGACACGGGTCACACACGAAGGGAAGAATGTGCACAGGAGGGATAGGGAAAGGGAAGGAAACCTAAAACTTGAAAGTGTTTGAGGTGCTCACTGTAGATAAGTGAATAAAGTAATCTTAAACTGGCAGAAACCACTATGGGAAGGGGACCAGGAAGTAGTGAAGAGGTCTGGTAGGGATGAGCCAATGTGGGTTGCAATACACATGTGCATGGAAGCAGTGACTTTCTTGGACTGGTAGAGTGGCTCAAGTGGTAAAATACCTGCTTAATAAGCTTGAGGCCCTGAATTCAAACCCCCATAACTGCCAAAAACTTGACTTTCTTTTGGGCTGTTTTTCCCACATTCTGTCCAATACATGATAAGAGCCACTGTAGTACTTATGCTACTATGAACATAATGAGGTATTTCATTGTTATTTTAATTTGTGCTCTCTGATTTATGGAGGATTTCATGTAGTTGTTAAAAATCTGTGCATGCTGAACTTGTTGCAGGCCAGTGTTGAGAGTTCTTGCCTTCACAGGCCAAAGAATTGGCTCATGAGGCAGTGGATTGATCTGTGAGACAAGGTTGGCACACAAAGTAGGATTTATTAGAGAAAGAAAAGGCTGCAGCTAGAGCAGTGCAGTGGAGCCTGGAAACCGGTGGCTCCCTGCTGAGGTGAAGGCTGGGGCTTTTTATGGACGCTTTAACTCTGGGTTAGGGTAAGGGTTAGGTGGGTTCTTTCCATTGGAAATGGATCCATGTGCACAGACTCTCTTCGATGAGCTGGTCTGTTTGCCCCTTACTGGGGGAAACAACCTTGAGAGCATCCTGTCTATCAGCCAGCCCTGTGGCAGATTTATGAGACCAGGTATCTCCTCCTCAGGATGCAAGGCTCATAGTGCTCTCCATGGGGGATGGGATACTGACTCACTCATCTGTCCTTTAGGTTCCCAGACTCAACAAGTCCCCCCTCTGAGACAAGCACCAAACTGCTGTTGGAGAGAGGGGTAATGGCTTGTCTATCTACTTCCTGCTGACAGTGGGGTAACAGGAGCAGGAGTAGGTGTGGTGGTACTTGTCTCAGGGGTTGACACATGTAGTATCCAGAGGCTCCCAATAGTACTGGTTGGAGGGCTCGTGTATAGACAGAGGTGAGTATTCCTTGACTAAGAGCTGGAATTTGATCCATTGGACCTGTTTAGATATGAACCTGGAGAGAGTATTTATTATACAAGGCCCAAATAGGAGTATTAGAAGGAGCCTAAAAAGGGAGCCAGCAGAGGTAGTGCCCAAGGAACCCAGCTCCATATGTTGTTCCAGAAGGACCACGAATTGGCTAGCTAGCTGTTGTGAGGAGTTAGTGGGGTCTTTAAGGGCAAACAGAGGCTGACTGTCAGGATGTAGAGGAATGTAAAAGAAAGCGTTCTTTAGAGTATAGGGTTTGGGAACAATTGGGTGGAGGGGATTGACTGTTTTATTAATGAGTTGGAGGTCCTGAACCAACCTCCATTTATTTGGATCCTTATGGACAGCAAGAATAGGAGTGTTATACGGGCTTGAGCATTCCACTAAAAGTCCCTGCTGTTTTAGGTGGTTAATAATGGGCAATATACCCTGTCACCCTTTAGGCTTTAGGGGATATTGTTTTTGATGGGGGAATGGGAGGGGGTCTTTTAGCTTTATTTGTACAGGAAGAGCAGTTTTTGCTTGACTGACAGTTGTACCATCAGTCCAAACTGTGAGATCTACCTGTTCTTTAGTGAGGGGGAAACAGAAGTATTCCCTGGGGGGAAGTAGAATTTGGACTTTTAGTTGGGACAATAAGTCTTGCCCCAGCATGGGTATTGGAGTTTTGGGGACCACAAGGAAAGAGTGACAGAAGTGGAGGCTCTCCTGGGAGCAGGCCAGTGGCTGGGTGAAATAACACTCAAGAGGCTGGCCAGATATGCCTGACCAACTATGCTGGGTTGGTCAGGCTTGAGTGTGAAGCAGGGCTGGGAAAGGGGCTGGGAGCATGCCACAGCTGGGCAAGGTGCTGCTGCCCTCCCCCATACCCAGGCCAAGTGACCCCCCTGGCCCAGGCCCACCCCTGCAGCCTGCTGCTCCTCCTCCCACATGTGCATGCCCATTTGTTTGTTTTCCCCCTCATCCTTTTTCGTGTGAGTGGCAGCAGATTGCAGCTTGTCAACTGTGTGTGGCCTGCAGTGGCAGCAATTCTGTACGTGAGCTGGGCCCTTCCCATGGATGGTCTTAGCTATGGCAGGCACTGCTACTGCCCCTGGGGAGCCCGCTGGGACAGGCTGGCATCTCTGTGCACATCAACACTTCCCCTCCTCCCCTCATGGGGTGGGATGGGGTTAGGGCTTGTGTATGGTGAAGAGGCCCCTGTTGGTCCTCACCCCTGCCAGGTCCACCCCTGTGGCCCACCACTCCTTCTCCCATGTGCACATGCGCGTTTGTTTGTTTCCCCTCTCATCCCTTTTTGGGGGAATGGTGGCGGGTTGCAGTTTGTCACCGTGAGTGGCCAGCAGTGACTCTGGGCCCTTTCCATGGATTGCCCTAGCTGCAGCAGGGGCTGCTCCCAGGGGTGGGGTTTGGGTGTGCCCGTGGTGCATGAAGCCCACATTG